CGGAGCAAGTATAGGTGGAGAGTGTAGAAACAATTCTTATTTTGGCGAATTTGAAGATCATTGCATGGTCTTTTTTTTTTTTCTTTTTTTTTGCAACCGTCGTTCGGGGAAGAAGAAGTGTACTTGAGGAATGATAATCGTGACGCTGAAAATACACATGTCTTCTTCGTAAAGCTTATTTTTTAAGAGGGGCGGTTTCAAGGTAGGATACTTTGCGGAAACTCCTCGTAAAAAAAAAAAAAAAAAAAAAAGAGTAATGTAAGTGATTGTCCGTATCCATCCGATCGCAAATCGTGCACAATATAATAAAAGCTGTCGCAATAACTTGGAGTATATAATACGTATATAAAAAAATCACTTCCCCTCGGATACACTCTTTCTTCCTCCGCTATACTCCCATTGTTTCGTTTTTGCTCGGCCCTTCCCTAAATTATTGTTTACGCAAGCCAAGAGCACAACATGTGCTGCATCGGATATATATATATATATATATTTGCTGCCTCTTCCGAGAGATACATGTATAGAGACAAGATGACGCCCAATGGTTATTTCGCGCCTCTGGTGCGCGAAGCCCCTCATTTGTGAAGCCTCGGGTTTTTCGGACCGGCTCCGAAAGGGAGAATATAAGTGAAACTATACATATATACCCGGGGCAGCCATTAGCCTCGTGGAGAGGAGATTATTACAGCGCTGCCGTAGGCGGCTCTCTTGTATGATTTGCGCGAGATTGCGAGAGCCCGTTCCCTCCGCAACGATGGCTTTTACCTCGTGTCCCCCTCCCGGGACCCATACGAGGGGTACATATTAATAGCCCGTTTAGGAAAACACTAATGCGAGAGAGTTTCGCGGAAATGTGGATTTGTCGCGCGCGTTTTTATGGATATTTACGGAAATCAAAAAAAAACCCTTGCTCGTTACTTAGCTTCATTGAAACCTAATCGATGATTGCACTTGGAGGGAAAAAAACGCTTATCCAGACCGTGTTAAACAGGTCGATCGGCATCCAATACCCTCGCGAGAAGCCTCTCTTTTTGTTCGGTACGTATCTTCATTTGTACTGTGCACAGCGCGCAATTAGTCGAGGGAGACCATCGTTACGACGCGGTATGATTATTATTAAAAATTTCTCTCGAGGCGCACGCAGGGGAGCCGAGAATCGTTTCTCGCGCGAGTGTCCCGAAACGACGACGCCGCGGGCTGCCGCGAACCGCATATCAGAGAGAGAGAGAGGGGCGCTGTGGGTATACGATGGTGCGCCCCTCGGTATAAGGTATATACATAAGTATCGGTGTTTACGGGCTCGGATGAATGGCGCCGGCTGGAGCACACCGACGACGATGGCCATGTACGCACACGCGCATATGCAAGGTAATAATACGTTCCGAAGGGAGGGTCTTCCCTCTAATGGGGGTCCTAAAGTGCCGCGTAAAAATCTCTCTCTGCGGCGGCGTTACACCTCTCGGGAGAGGAAAAAGATACGGGATGCTGCGTGTGTGTACATATACGAGCCTTTGGTTTTAGAAGTGTTATCGGTTGCTGCGCACACCATACGGATGTAAATAAAATACCTATCGGTGTCTCTTTTATGGGCACTCGCGTGCGGTGTGGTCGTCCCAGGCATCAATAAAAAGAGTCACGCTTCAATCGGCCTCGCTCCCCCCCGACCGTCTCGGACAATAGCCGTGAAAGGAGTTAAGGGGCAACAAACACAAAAAAAACCATCTCTCGTAGCTATTCTTTTGTTTTTTCCTTTTTTCATCACCCTCGAAATGTCTTCCATGCCCCAGGCTTCTCCGTATGAACAGTACGCCGCGACAAGTGTTTTCTTTGTTTCGCGCTTCTCTTACACGCAGTCGTGTGTTTCGAAAGGAAAAAAAAAATAAAAGAAAAGGCCAACCCTTCGGGACGCCTGACGGATGTATTCGGGTCTCGTTAAAAGCCCGCGAAAATCTTACCGCTGCGTGATTACAGGCCGAGGCAGCCGCCGGATCCTCCGATTGCCCCGTTTTCTCTCTTTCGCTCCGTTTGCCGAAATTTACGGACTTGCACACACGCCCTGTAAACTGTGCATCGGCCCCGAAATTACACCAAAAGCCGTGTGTTACGTGCTCGTCGTCAGCTGTTTTTTTGTTTTTGTTTTTTACGGTACTCGAGAGCTGTTTTGGTCTTACAAAACTAATGGACGCGCGTTGAGGTGCGGCAGGAGCAATTGCAAGGTGTCGACTGTTGTACAAGCTGTATCGTGTGTTAATTAACAGAAAAAAAAAAGCTCGTGACTAACGTTTGGATGATTTTTCTTTCTCCATCGACAATCAAATCGCCCCAACGGATAACAATCACAAGACAAACTTGGAGTCGTCGCGGATGGTCATTACGTATACATGGGTAGGGGAGCGCCGGTTGTATATGTACACTAATTTACGGCTGTCTAGCCTAAGCAAATGAGGCAGGAGGCGTCTGTCGCCGAAAGCGGCGCGGTGCAGTTGGCCGTTCTCGGCTTTTGCTTGATTATTGGTGCAATTAAATTTTACGCCAGCCGCGTACATAAGTACAACGAAGCCGATGGAAAACTGGAAACCGGATGTGTGGGCTCTCTACGCGTGTACCTTGATGCGTTTTGCGGATAACCGAGTGGACTTGGGCGGGGAAAACGAAAGCGTACATTTTTTTTTCCCCATCCTCCCCTTATTCCAGCGCATCCGCACGCGTGGTGTAAATAACCACGATAATTGACCATTAGATGAGCACTTTTGAAGTACACACGTCGAAGGATTCGCGTGATTTTAATTGCCAAAGATCATCACTGATATTATTTCATATCGAACGCGAGTAGATATGTTCGAAGGGAAAAAATAAATTCCGGAGCCTCGACGGCGGCACACAGCGTTCCGAGAGTATCAGGTGCTTTTAATTAGCGATCGGCCTCCTTTTTTCCCCCTCTATCCACGCTAAATACCCCGTCTGACCCATCTCGGCTGTTTCTACTTGATTATCTTTTTTTTTCTCAGTCACGTACGGGGCATTTTTTTGTTTTTGTTTTTTTTTGTTTCCCAGCAAACAAGCCGGCACGTTTGTAGTGCGCGCAATTCATCGATGAGTGTAATTGCGTCCTTTTTTTGCCTCGCACGGTGTAACTGCACGGCCGATATATATTAGCGTCGAGCGAACGTGCAGGAACGCCGTGTGGCACAGTACGCCATCAGTTACGCTCGTTTGTAACTTTCGGTTCTCGAACCCGGGGAACACGTGTTCTCTGTTCATCCCCAAAATGGCCTCGATTGGCGACGATTCTTACCCCCTGGTACATTGCCCTCGTACCCAGGGAGAAAAACATCAACTAGCGGCTACACAGTAATAACACCACGTGTGACGATCTTCATCGACTACTCCCACCAGCGTTGACAACCAAAGTGCATGCAAAACTTGGTTGCACACAGTCGCTCGAGGCGACAACCCGTCTAATGGATCCCCAAGCGCGGAACTCTCGTTAGAGGCAGACATGGGTCCGGGTCCAGCGAAGCTTTGCGAGGTTGAGATGGTCGTCGTTGCTGATGGGATGTATGTTCTCGCGAAATGGCCCTCGTTTGTCGCTCAAGGGCTCGTCGTTTTGCGAGAGCTTAAAGCGACTCGGCACCGTTGTTGCCCCGAAGTGATTTTCTTTTTTCAATCCATACTTCGCAGGACGAGCGGTAAATCAATAATCAGCAAACATTTCAGCGACTGTGGCGAAACTAAAAATGGTCACCCGAGAGTACCAACGTCACTGAGCTTCTTATCCGAAACTAGTCGCTTACGTGTATAATATACGGTAAGCCTCTATAATGGGATGCTGTACAGTACACGTCTGCGGCTCTCGCTCTTATGGAAGTGGTTCGCCCACCTTACCAACAACCTTTCGTTGTGTAGTCGTGTACGTACATACAATTACTTGTAGCTCTGCTCGTGTGCGTGGATGTACGTGAATACGATTTCAGGCCTAGAAGGAAGAAAGCCATCGGTATGGATATACGTGGAGGTGCATCTCGCGGAGTCGCGCGCGCGTCCAGCCGAGCCGATGTGGGTGGGTTTGGAGAGTTTCCATTAATGCTTTATCTCGTGTATTTATTCCAGGTATATCTGTGGTCTCCTCTTTTTTTTTATTGCTATTTAGTTTTTCTGTTTTTTTTTTTTTTTTTTTACTACCCGTCCTCATTGTAATGATGCCTGTGTTCATTTGTTGCGTATAAAAAACTTTTCCTTTTTTTTTTTTACTGTTTAAAAATCCCTTACTAGTTAAAAAAATACTTTCTGCGTCACATACGTCGCCAAGTGGGTAAAAGTATGACTCTGGTATCGGCACGAAAGTAATATCTGTGCTCGAGTCGACTGTTACGACTACTCGAGACACCGTTTCTCTCCTGAAATAGTAGAAAATTCTTTGAAACCAGATAAAAAAAAAAAAAGAAAGAAAGAAAAAAAACATTTGTAATAAGGTCGTGCGGAATATGAAATAAGTAGTTCGGAAGTCCTTCTCTATACCCACGTATAAACTCTCAGAACTGGTCTATCGTCAGCCAACTAGTTTTTCATTACACTCATTACTCGTGCACGTATGGTCCCCAGTATTTTCTAATCAGAATCTGGGAATAAGAACCCAAATATTTTATATTTTTTTTGCATCCCGATTGCCGTCGCGCACACATGCACGCACTCAATGAACCACCAAAGCAGAAAATCACGCAAAAGAAAAATTTTTCATCGACACTTACGAGCTGGTATACTTTGACAAACAGGAAACGTAGGTGTCCAACAGCCGTGTAAAGGTATACACTCTCTCATAAGCTGACAATGGGTGGTGTTGGGTAATTTGTTGGCCATCAGGTTCCCTTTGATTTTAATATGAAAGTCTCTCTCAGCCAACGCAAAGTATCGCTTGCAGATCTGAAATATCGTTGAACGTAATATATTATGATTAAAAAAGAAAAAAGAAACTAAACCGGTTTTCTTTCTCTGAATTTCAGTTTGTATCGGAACGAATGGCCGGTTGTCGGTGCCGTCCAACAAGGACCACCACTACCGTAACCTCCGGGACCGATACACCAACTGCACGTACGTCGACGGCAACCTCGAGATCACCTGGCTCCAGGGCAAGGATTTCGACCTCAGCTTCCTCCACCACATCCGCGAGGTCACCGGCTACGTCCTCATCAGTCACGTCGACGTGCCCAAGGTCGTGCTACCCCGGCTGCAGATCATCCGCGGCCGAACCCTCTTCAAGCTCAACATACAGGAGGACGAGTACGCGCTCTTCGTCACCCTCTGTCAGATGTTCAACCTCGAGATGCCGGCGCTCAGAGGTACAAGTTTTCTCCGACATCCAAACATACATGTATACCGTTAGATTATCCAAAATAAGAGAAAAATTAAAATTACCTCCTCGTGACATCGTCCACAGACATTCTTAACGGGAGCGTGGGCATGTTCGACAACTACAACCTGTGCCACATAAAGACCATCAACTGGGACGAGATAATAACGGGGCCGGGGCGCAACTACACGTACATCTACAACTTCACGTCCCCGGAGCGGGTGTGCGGTTGCGACAACAGCTGCGAGCAGGGCTGCTGGGGCGATGGGCCCGAGAACTGCCAGCGCTTCTCCAAGACGAATTGCTCGCCCCAGTGCTGGCAGGGCCGGTGCTTTGGACCCAATCCACGCGAGTGCTGCCACTTGTTCTGCGCGGGGGGCTGCACCGGCCCGAAGCAGAGCGACTGCCTCGCTTGTAAGAACTTTTACGACGACGGGGTCTGCACCCAGGAGTGCCCGCCCATGCAAAAGTACAACCCGACCACGTACTCTTGGGAGACGAATCCGGACGGGAAGTACGCGTACGGGGCGACTTGCGTGCGCAAGTGTCCGGAGCACCTGCTCAAGGACAACGGGGCGTGCGTTAGGTCGTGCCCACCGAAGAAGAAGGCGGTGAACAGCGAGTGCGTGCCGTGCGAGGGTCCGTGTCCAAAGACGTGCCAGGGTGTAAGCGACAGCTCCAACGAGGGTTGGGTCCACTCGGGCAACATCGACAGCTTCAAGGACTGCACGATCATCGAGGGCTCGATCAGCATCCTCGACCAGAGCTTCAAGGGCTACCAGCACATATTCAGCAATTTTTCGTTTGGCTCGCGCTACGAGCCCATGCACCCGGACAGGCTCGAGATCTTCAGCACCCTCAAAGAGATCACCGGCTACCTGAACGTACAGGCCGATCACCGGGAGTTCAAGAACCTCTCGTACTTCCGGAACCTCGAGGTCATTGGCGGCCGGACCCTCACCGAGCTCTTCTCGAGTCTCTACATCGTCAAGTCGTCCCTCGAGTCGCTGGGGCTCAGCTCCCTACGGAAGATCAACTCGGGCGGCGTCGCGATACTCGAGAACAGGCAGCTCTGCTACGCCGAGACCATCAACTGGAACAAAATTCGAAAGTCCTCGGACCACGGGAACCTCATACAGAAGAACAAGAACGAGACCGATTGCAGTAAGTGTTGATCATCACGATCCTATTCATCTGCAGTACTTGTGAAATAGAAATCATTTTTGGTTTTTCTTTTTTTTTTTTTTTTTTTTTTTTTTTTTTTTTTTTTTTTTTTTTTTCTCTCTCTCTCTATACGCAGTCAACGATAGCTTGGTTTGCGACGAGCAGTGCTCGCGCGAGGGCTGCTGGGCCCCGGGGGCCGAACAATGCCTGTCCTGCAAGAACTTTATGCTGGGAAACGTCTGCGTCAGGGACTGCAATGCACCTGGGTAAGCACACACTCGACAAATTATCCATTACTTGTTGTTTCACATGAATATACTAACAACCTCGATGTGTACGTTCATTGCCTACCGATGAAAGACCTCCGGGTAAGATGTCGTATCGATATCTAGCTCCTTTTTTTTTTTCCTGATTTTGTTTTTCGTCGTTTGTCACGTATTACATGCGAGCACGATCTTTGATTTTTGCGCTTCTCTTCTTTTGTCGCATCACAATCATGCGAAACAATAAATTAATCGAACAAACGCAGTATCTACCGAGCTGACGACAAGAGCTGCAAGCCGTGCCACGAGGAGTGCAACGGCACCTGCACGGGCCCCACGGCCGAGGACTGCGAGTCGTGCAAGCACGTGCGCGACGGGCCCTACTGCGTTGCCTACTGTCCAGTCTCAAAGTACAGGGAGAACGGCCAGTGCTACGAGTGCCACAAGAACTGCGTCGGCGGCTGCGACGGCCCGGAGAACAACATCGGGCCCAACGGCTGCCACAGCTGCGAGAAGGCCATCGTCAACAGCGACTTTGAGCCCGAGGTCTGTCTGCAGAAGAAGGAGTCCTGTCCCGACGGTAAGATATCACATATATACATACAATGGAAATGCCAAACAACTGCAGTTGCAATGAATATAAACAATGCTTCGTGATCATTGTCATTGTAGGCTACTACTACGAGTGGGTGAGCCCCCAGGAGCAGGGTAACCTACAGCAGTTGGCAGGGAAGGCGGTCTGCCGCAAGTGCCACCACCACTGCAACAAGTGCACGGGTTTCGGGACCCACGAGCAGGTCTGCCAGGAGTGCGCCAAGTTCAAACGGGGCGAGCACTGCGAGGAGGAGTGCCCGGCCGACCACTACGTCGAGCCGTACAGCCAGCTCTGCCAGCCTTGTTACCCGGAGTGCCGGGGCTGTTACGGCCCGGCGCCCCACCAGTGCCAAAAGTGCCGCAACCTCAAGATGTACGTCGAGGGTGGCGATCCGAGCGACAACACCACGGCCTTCAATTGCACGGACCTCTGTCCCCCCGGCTACCCGTACAAGCTCTTCTCGGCCGACAACGACCTCTACTGCTCCCAGGAGCCGGACGAGCAGCAGCGCCACCAGGAGTTGAGGCCCGCCATACTCGGGGGCCTGGCCCTCTTCGTCGTAATGTTGCTCGTGGGCGTGGCCTTTTGCGTCTGCCAGTACCACAGTTTCAAGGCCAAGGAGAAAACGGTCAAGATGACGATGGCCCTGACGGGGCTCGACGATAACGAGCCGCTGAGGCCAACGGGCGTCAAGCCGAATCTCGCCAAGCTGCGCATCATCAAGGAGGAGGAGATGCGCCGGGGTGGTATCCTGGGCACCGGTGCTTTTGGCCACGTGTACAAGGGCGTGTGGGTGCCCGAGGGCGAGACAGCCAAGATACCCGTGGCCATCAAAGTCCTGCACGAGGGCACCACCAACGCCTCCAAGGAGTTCCTCGACGAGGCGTACATCATGGCCTCGGTCGACCACCCGAATCTCGTTCAACTGCTGGCCGTGTGCATGACCTCGCAGATGATGCTCGTGACGCAGTTGATGCCCCTAGGCTGTCTCCTCGACTTTGTCAAGCAGAACCGGGACAAGATCGGCTCGAAGCACATGCTCAAGTGGTGCACCCAGATTGCTCGGGGCATGGCCTACCTCGAGGAGCACAGGCTCGTGCATCGGGATCTCGCGGCACGCAACGTCCTCGTCAAGAACGGCAACACGGTCAAGATCACGGATTTCGGGCTGGCCAAGCTCCTCGACATCGACGAGGAGCAGTACAAGGCCGCGGGCGGCAAGATGCCGATCAAGTGGTTGGCCCTCGAGTGCATCCAGCACCGGATCTTCACCCACAAGTCCGACGTTTGGGCTTTCGGGGTCACGATCTGGGAGGTCCTCACCTACGGCGGCAAGCCGTACGAGAACGTCTCGGCCCGCAACGTGCCCGAGCTACTCGAGAAGGGCGAGCGACTGCCCCAGCCGGTTATATGCACCATCGACGTCTACATGATAATGATCAAGTGTTGGATGCTGGACGCGGAGTCGCGGCCGAGCTTCAAGGAGTTGGCCGAGGAGTTCGACAAGATGTCCAAGGACCCGGGCAGGTACCTGGCCATCGAGGGCGACAAGTACATGAGGCTGCCGACATACGTGCTCCAGGACGAGAAGGAGATGATCCGTAGTTTGGCCTCGTCGATGGCCGGGGACCACGAGTCGGCCCTGGTCGAGGCCGAGGAGTACCTGCAGCCAAAGTGCCGGGCCCCCCTGCCCCCGAACTTCCTCTCGAGCAACACTTCGGGCCCGACGCCACCCGGCACGCCCGTCAAAACGTGCTGGTCCAACGGGACCTCCCTCAGCACCGACTCGCCCACGCCCCAGAACCAGCAGAACTGGAACCGCGAGCTGCTGAGGTACGGGGCTGCCGCGGCGGCTGCGGCGGCCGCCATGGCGCGCGCCAATCACGGCGCCGGGGGTAGCTCCACCGGGGGCAACTCTGGCCCGAGCACCAGTACCCACGAGGGTGGACAATCCGGTAGCCTCCAACGCTCGCGCCACTACGGCTACATGAACGGACACTGCGGCCAGCAGCAGATGATGGCCGGAGGGACCGTCGGATCCGAGTCGGGAGGCTCGAGGTACTGCTCGGACCCCCTCAAGATGGTTGGCGTCAGAGGTAAGGGATTCATTCTTTTCGTACTCTCTCTCTCTCTCTCTCTCTCTATGTCAACCGCGACGATATTTGTGAATGACTTGTAACGTGGTTACTTTGCCATCAGATTGCGACGTGACGGATGACGGCTTTGCGTCCGAGGGTGCGACGCACCAGCAGGCCCAGGTCGGCGGGGTGAAGCTCGATCTGCCGGTCGACGAGGACGACTACCTGATGCCGTCGCCCCAGCTGCCGGCCACCAAGACCCAGTACATGGATCTGATAGCCGAAGCCAACTCTGCGGGTAAGCATATTCGGCTTCGTTGATTCGTGTGTGTAGAATGTGTGGGGGGAGATTAAAGTAATTGTTTAACGTTGGGTGTTTCAGAATCGTTGCAGAAGCGCTTCAACAACGGGTACCGCAAGTACCCGGATTTCTTGACGATCGTCGGCAAGACGTCCTTGGACAATCCGGAGTACATAATGTCGCAGGACGACGGGCCCCTGACGCCCCAGCCGCTCGGCATCCCGACGACGCCGACGCAGTTGGAAAAGGCCTTGGCGAACGGTGCATTCGGCGTGGCTGGGCTACGGCCTAGGAGCTCCGAGGAGGAGTCGGATCACGAGTACTACAACGACTTTGACCGGCTCGAGCGAGAGCTGCAGCCTCTCAAGCCTCTCAGAAAGAACGAAACGACCGTCTGAGAGGCTTACCGGCAACTGCTTCGACAATTTAGATCTCGAAAAAAAAAAAAAAAAATACATTTTTATACATAAATATATTTCTTATATTATTACTACTGCGTAAACGCGCGTCGACAGCGTTGATGGTCCGCATGACCGGTGAAAGCGTACACGCGTATCGTTGGATTCGTGGAGGGTTGCGTTTTATTTTTGCATTTACGTAGGGAAAACTTTTTTTTTTTTTTTTTTTCCTCCCGATATTTCGAGTGCGAAATCGTCGACGGATGCAACGATGTGTTATACACGCGTGTACTGTAAAATATATTATCGATTAAGCGTTAATCAAGCTCGAGAGTTTATTTAATTTTTCGTTAAAAAATTTACTTTCGTTGAAAATTGACTGATGTGTACATTAGCCGTGATTTTTTTTTTTTTTCTTTCTTTAATTCTCGTTTTAAAATCCTTATTATTAATGAAATTAAATTTTAGTCTGCGGGAACTGAGGGTTCGACAGATTTTTTAATGCATGTTAAACCGACGATTGGTAATTTTGGAAATGAACAAAAAAGTAATACTTATTTGAAAGAACATTTCGCAGTACTTAGAGATTTTTCGGTTTAACAAAAGGTGTGCCGTGTCTGATTGTGATCGTACAATGTAATGTCACGAGTAAATGCATGATGATGATGAGTGTGGCTGTTGAATGAAAAACAATTGTATAATGATTGCGTACGACGATGAACGAGAGCTCACACTCGCGATTGTATCGATTTAACTACTAATATAAGTATAAAAAATATACATCGATATACGTCGTTCGTGTCGGCCCTGCTCAATGAACTGTAGTGCAAATATATTCTTAATGTGCCATCAACGTGGCTTGTAAATAATTGTAACTCATGTAATTAATAAACGAATCAGCACCCGTGTTACACACACACACGTTTTTCAACGTACGAACATCTAATTTTTATTTTTCATCAAGTAAGTGAGCAACGAGTTGATTATTGTTTTATAAAAATCCATCTTTACATACACAATGACAAATTTTATTTTCAAATTATTTTTATTTTTTTCTTTACCACATCTATTGTCAAGTGTCGTTATCACTGATGACTGTGATAAAAAAAAAAGATTTTATATTTCAAGATAAAAAAAAGGCACTTACTATTTTTTTCCTTGCACCGAGGGAGCTAGCATACTGTATCGGATTGTAGTTTTGAGAAGAATTTTTTGTACAAAAATCACTTTTAAAATATAATTTTAGCTCTCTGAAAAAACTGACTAAAATTTTTTTACGACTATTTAAACGTGAACGTTGACGAAAATTGCACATCTATCATGCCATTATTAGATTTTTTTTCGTGGACCGATAAAATCGTTATTGGATCCTAGCGATTTTTCCAGCGAAAAAATTTTAATCACAAAAACTCGATTGTACATAGATATTTTAGTTTGTAAAAACATTCTACTTTATTGTAGAAGAAATGTACTTGAATCAACTAGTTAATTACGGGCACATTACAAAATACATATGTTACGACAACACGCGTAATATATCTCGTGATCATAAATATATATATAGGGTAGAATGTGCCATTTTTATACAGACGAACGAAATATTGGTAAAAAATGAGAAGCAGAATAATCACTGGTTAAACTTTATACAGGCATATTCGAGTGTAACTGGAAATTAAGTATCAACTATTATCATCCAAATTTTTAAAAACCAGTGTTTTTCTATGAAAAATCAACTATTTTTGAGATTTATATTTAACAATTGTTACGCACAAATCAAATGATTTTGTCGGTTGTAATTCATTCATTTTGGGTATAGAAGAAAAAAAAAAAAAAAGAACAAAAACATCATGACAATAAAAAAGTGTATGTACTTTTTTTTCTAAAGATTGCGAACGCGAAATGCCTTATATACAAGTCAATTACGTATCGTGTAAATTTACGCTAAGTGTTACTAATTATTTTAATTACTATTATCACCTACGGATCACATAAACTACTACGTTAAGATAATACTTATTTTTAGTACACTTTTGAATTTGTAAAATACGAGAATAAATATGATGATAAACAGAAATTATACATAGTATATAGATAAACGACTACACACACACACATCGCTAGAGAGTATCAGCACCGAATAATGCAAGAAAAAAAAAATCTGTATAGTGTATCCAACTTTCGTCTGCGGCCCACAAATCCACAGATAAAGCTCTCATCACCCATCAATGACATTAATAATATTATGTATATGTATATTACACAGAGTCGCCTGTGTGTTTGCCCGACAAACACAAATTTAACCATGCGACGAATTGTATATTGTAAAAAGAACCGACATCGATCGAGAGTCTACGAGTACGTTTGTGGACACGGGCTTTAAAAGATCTTCATATTGTATATCATATATATATATATCGTTACGAAATATTGTAATAAACGAGACGAAAAATCAATAATTTTAAACCATTTGTTTTGATTACATCCTCCTTTTCCCACAATAAACAAACAAACAAACGTAACTTGGATAACTTCGGAGAAACCCGAGAGTGGCATTATCGCAAGTCAGTGCGTTTATTTCTTCACGCAGAGTAAAAGACAATGATTAATTAAGAAAAAGTTAAAGTCATTAACTAGCCTCGTCAGCAGCGCTATTGTTTCACAAAAATCCAGAGGGCAATCGAAGAAAACGAAGGGGTGTTGTGCTGTACCGTAACGTAAAGCTACAAAAGCTTTTATCATACAAGAGGGAAGAGCGCAAAGTAGACGCTGTTTCTAGAACCGGTGCATTTGCCGTGCTGACAGTGCATCGGTATCATCAACGTGCCGTTAAAGTAATAATACAACACCATGGGTACACTCCAACGATCACTGGTGCGGATTTTGCGCAGAGCCATAGCCGAACGGAGCCACTGCCGATCTACCCGTACTAGGACCTTTTCAGCGGTTCCTGGCCCGAGAACTGCTTTTGACGCGGATTATGATAGGTACCGTACGAAGTGCCGTTTTTTTCATTCTCTTTGGCTTGAAACTACTCGGGAAAGATTTTTTTCCCCTTGTATACGTAAAAGTTTTTCTTACCGATTTATAACCGATCTGAATGAAAGTTGCATATTTTAGATGTTAAGTATGCATAATCAAGTGTATAAATTAACGGCAATAGGACAACTAATTTAATTCATATTCGATCGTTGGACGGCGAATCGCACGTGAATCATCGGGATCGAGGAACTATCTAAGATGACACAATGAAACAACACCCAATGAAGATAAAAAATATTACGAGTTTCGATAAGTGCCGTCGGACGGCTCTATCAGTTTGAGTAATACAGTTTTCCTGTTTATCTCGTATGCTTAATGAAAGCATTGAATTCTTTCACGATAAGAAAACGACAGTCGTTGATTACACGAGTATATATAAATTCACTACTCAGCGAAATCGAAAAGTCGGTAAAACAATCGCTTCCCAACAAACTGAAAGACGCTCGACGATTGTTTTCAACAACGAAAAATCGGTATTCACACAAACAGGTAAGTCATACGGGAAAAATCGCCCATTAACGACATCTGTCGTCGGCATCGCGTTTTATATGACCCTCGCTCTGTGAAAGCTCGTGCTTAGCTGTAAAGCGGCGCGCACCTATCTAATAACGATATCACGAAAGATAAAATAGTCGTCGCAAAAGCCTGCAGTAAGTGATCTACATTCGGGCGAGGTGTATGATCAGTAATTACGCCAAGCTGACGCGCAAAGTTTTTCATTCCTCCGCAACGTCATCGGCAATGGCCAAGATCCAAGATCCGTACCTGCGACACCTGTTTGACGCTGATCCAGCTTTGAACGTTTACAGCTCGAACGTGGTCAATCTGTCGGTCGGCGCGCCCGGCCCGGATCTTTTGCAGAAGTGCAGCAGCCTACTCGCTAAGGCTACCAAGCACAGATTGGTGAGTTGGCTTTTTTCATGCGAGCACTCGCTGACGATGGTCCCATCAGTTTGAGCTTGCGGAGCTTTTATGGATTGTTCTTTTTCATTCTTGCAAGCTCTTTGCGTTACAACTATAATTTTTAAAAAACCTTAATTTTCTTACCTCTTTTGCACCCGCGAGCAGGAAGAGGAGGAAAAAGAAGGCAAGTACTACCTGTTCCAGTACGGCATAACCGCGGGCCTCTGGGAATGCCGGGACGAGCTGGCGAAATTTCTGACGCGGCGCTACGGTGATCCGGTGTCGCGGGAAAATTTGATCCTCACTTGCGGCGCCACACATGGACTACAGCTGATATTGACGAGCGTCGTGTCGCCAAACGGCGTCATTTTCGTGGACGAGGTCACCTACATGATCGCCCTCGACGCTTTCAAGCAGTTTCCTCTGATACGAGTCATCTCAGGTACCTTAATTCAATAAACTAAACGCCATCTTTTGTTTGCACATTTATATGAGAATCCAATTCCTCTTTTTTTCATTTGGGCGATTTGGGTTTAGTGCCGATGAAGGACGATTTGGTGGATCTCGATGCTTTGGAGGAAATAGTCAGCCAAGAGAAGAACAAGGGGTACATTCTTGGCAACGACAAAGTCTTCTGGGCCATGTACTACACGATACCGACCTTCCACAACCCGACCGGCATGTCTCTGTCACCTGGTAATTGCTTGATTCAAACACATACAGAAAATCATCATATTCAAAGAGAGAAAATAAAACAAACGTCGTTTTTTCATATTTTCCATCGAGAGATGTCCAAGAGGCTGGTGAAAATGGCTAGGGAAAACGAGTTCGCGGTGGTCTGTGACGATGTGTACAATCTCCTGAACTATGACACTGGGTATCCACCGCATCGACTGTTCAACTACGATGACTCGGAGGATCCGGGGTACACGGGTGGAAACATCATCTCTAACGGATCGTTTTCGAAAATTCTCTCACCAGCCATCAGAGTGGGCTGGCTCGAGTGTGGACCAAAAGTCGCTAATATACTGAAGGAATCGTGAGTGACAGTTTTCAGGAAAAAACGTTTTTTTTTTTCCTTCTCAGTTAATGATATTTCGTTTGGGTCTACAGAGGTGTCATGAAAAGCGGAGGGGCGGTGAATCACTACGTGTCCGGTTTGATAGCGAGTCTTTTGCACTTGAAGTTGGAGGATGAGTATTTGGACAATTTGAAAGAAATTTATAAGGTATGTTTTCTTTTTTTGTCGCGCGAATACATGTCTGAGCTTTTGTATTTTGAAAAAATGGTTCGATTGATTTTTCGATGGCAGGAAAGAAGGGACGCACTTTGCGATGCGTTGGATAAAAACTTACCACCCAACTGCTCCTACCGATATCCCGAAGGTGGATATTTCGTTTGGATCAAGCTTCAAGAAGGTACTTAGTTTTATACTTTTAAAAGTAGTTTTCTTTATAAAGAATAACGTGAATCAGAAAAAAAAATTTTTTTTTTTAAGACATCGATGCGCTTCCCTTTGTGAAATGGTGCCAAGAAGAGTACAAAGTGACAGCTATACCTGGAGCTCGATTTTCAAATCATGGCAAATCAAAGAACTATATCAGGCTTAGTATTGCCTTCCACAGTGCTGATACTATTAGGAAGGCAGTTACAACAATGTGCAAGGCGCTCACAGAATACATAAAAAAATAGTATTACATACCAATTTATAAAAACTATTAACCGTGTTGTATTATACACGTTTTGTACTGTAAGAACGACTTTTACGTTAATGCAATGTAAAATATGCCAAAGGAGTAATTTTTGCCAATAAAAATAGTTTCTATCAATACTAATGTTATACTTATAGATCTGTTCCTAAATACGGTTGTGATTATTTGTTAAAAAATAAAATAAATCTGTATAAATATTTATGATTTCAACAAGAGTTTACTAAATAACGTATAAATCAGGATGACTGATAAATTGATAAATGCAAATAAAAAATATATATTTGTACAATTTTTACAACATTCAACTGAAAAAGCTGCCTTACTCAGAAGATCCTAACAGTTCGTTCTGCTTGGTTTGTAAAAGCTTTTCAGCTTCTTTGACATACTTATCACAAAGAGCTTCCACTTGAGCAGCAACTCGACGAATCACATCCTCTGATACATCCTTCCTTTTTTTCAATTCTCTAATTGTAACGTTTCTTGTATCTTTAATTTGATCTCTGTGTATTATATATATTGCCTTTGCATTCTTTGCAAGATTTTCCCTGTGCTCTTTTGTTACTCTGAAATAAAAACGATTACATGAAATTTTTTTGTTTAAATCAGTTGAGTGTATAAACTATTACTTGGGAATAGGTAAGAAAAGTGTGGTTCCATCCTGTTGAGGATTAATATTCAATCCACTAGTCTCAATGGCTTTGATCACTTGAGGTATGGCAGTAGGAAAATTTGCCAGGTTGAGCACTATCAGTTTTTGTTTTCTGGACATCTGGGCAAGTTCTTGCAACTCATACACCTTGTCATCAACCGTTACATTTATTTGATCCAAAGCACCAGTTGCCGAACGAAGATTGAGATTTTTAATAAATTCGGACTTCATGTTTTCAATGGCCTGGTTCATCTCAACAGTAACTTCATCCACATCAATAAGCTCTGACAGTTCTCTGAGGTCCAGCTTGGCTGCTTTTTGTTTTTTCTTCTCTTTGCCTCCTCTATCTTTACTTTTTGAGCACAATGAACTTGACACAGATAGATTTCTCAACCAGCAAATATTAACTGCATCTTTTCGTACCAACGGGCTGTTGTTAAAAATTGAGCATGTTTTGTCACTTTTGAGTACCATTGAATTATTGTTACAGTAAGATGAGTAATAACAACGTATTGTTGTTGATCTTATTGCGGATACCTTCAGTGGTTTACAGCTGATTAAACAAATTAAACTACTAATGCCATTCAAATTTCTCATTTTCACTGTTTCTGTTAAAAATCATACACTTGATCAGAAGTAACAATCAGCTAAAGCGAAAGCCGACTTTGAGGTTAGCTTTACCGATTATACTCAATTTTTTCCAATTAAATAATTATTATAACATTCATAATCATTTAACCAAGAATGACACACAGGTACTCTATTTATTTTTTTTTATACAAAACGCCTACGTATATTGTACAAATGTTTTTAAAAATAATACTATGCATGCGATTTTCGGATAAAACATAAATTGTAAACTTGGCGCAAATAAAACAAACAACCTCAACTTTTTATTTAAATTCTACAAAATTATTTGCGGCTGGCTTACATCTGAGATTATAATGGTTCTATTGTAATTGTAAGTAGTAATAATTATTTGGATCAGCGCCATCTAGCGTTGCAGATTTCTGAATTAAAAAGTGGCCCTAAAATTCTGAGTCAGAGCTTTAGCGCTTGGAGCCATTTAATCAATTATAAACCAGCCGCAACTAATTAAGTAAATAGAAAATAAAAAGATAACACGGTTTATGTTATTTGCGCTAAATTTTCAATCTATTTTTTTATCCGAAAATCGACTTTCAAAAGTATAAAAATATAGGAGGTAGATTTTCGGGTAAAAGATAAGTTGTAAACTTGCCGCAGTTAACACACATAGTGTTAACTTTTTATTTTATATCTGTAACATTAGTTGCGGCTGGTTTATGACTGGTTAAATGGCTCTAAGCTCCAAAGCTCTGAGTCAGAATTTTAGGGCCACTTTTTAGTTCAGAAATCCGCAACGCTAGATGGCGCTGATCCAAATAATTATTACTACTTACAGTACAGCCATGTAATTAATTACAAACCAGCCGCAACTAATTATATAGACATATTGTAAAAAAATAATATAGTCTGTGCTTTTTGAGGCAAGTATGAAATTTATCTTTTACCTGAAAATCGATCTCCAAAAGAACAGATGTTCTACTTACATGGTGTAATAAAATCGACCATATGGTACTACTTACTACTTAGTAGTGATTGCTATAATTACTATACACATAACACATAACTTCACGTACACTCGCCGTACCTTGATTCGCAAACCGCGAAGTTTGAAGTCTTAAATTTTTTTATGACAAATAAACATAAAATATGATTTTAACATTGTTCAATAGTTGTTAATATGATAGTTGTTTATCATTATATTCTTATTTCATGGTTATGGTTGTTCCTCGTGTTTTAATACGATAAATTACTTCAAGAATTCAAACTTCGCGGTTTGCGAATCAAGGTACTTTGAGTGTACATCTTACACCGTGCTCTGTGCTCTCTCTATACCAGATTGATAAAATCAGAGGCTGTATTCTGCAAATGCTGCCAGCAGTTAAGTCACGTAGGTCGTGGTAACGCCGCATGGTTGGACGGCGCTAGCGTCAACCTGTACTAATTGTCAACAAACTTCGATATTTTTTGCTGTTTTGATTCCCATGAAACATCGATAGGGTACTTCGGAGTTTGTTGCGTGTGCATCGCTTATCATATTAGACAATTAAATATTATCATTTGTATGATTCAGAGGTGTATAGCAATCAACTGTCGAGTGTACATCAAATCTAACTAATATAACTAATATAGTAGGAGCTGCCACTTTTCTAGCCTTATACTGAGGAGGCTCAACAATAACATACACTTAAGGGCATTGATTATTAAGTTTTGTGTATGTAAGAAGAGCACGCTCAGGTAATAACATCACAAGTCGTGATTATTAGTTCAATGAATCAAATATTTTATGAAATTGTACGATTGTTAGCAAAAATTTGCTGATGGATGATCGTGACTTGATGATGAATGCATTATTTTTAGGCTATCGTCTTTCCAACATGATCAACGCAAAGAAAACACCAGTTTCAGTATTAAATGAATTAATGGTGAAAAAGAGCCAATGTCCAAACTGGGAGCTTATCCACGATGGAGGTGGCACTCACCAGAACCTGTTTATTTGGAGGGTCACTTGTGATGGTCATTCCGTTGAAGGACAGGGTAGAAATAAGAGGGATGCCAAGCACGAAGCTGCTACAAAGATGTTGGAATTAATTGGTCAGCTCAGTAAACTTCCTCAATTGCAGGCTACGCCACAACAGTCGCCAGTCAGAACACCATTACCTGTCGATCCACCAACCTGTCCAAAGTCACCTGCCAATGCTCCTTTTAGAAATACAGTTGGAGAGTTAAAGGTAATCAGTTAATTCACACATTTAATGTTTATTAATAAATTTTGTCATTTACATTTTGGATACATGTATCTTTATTCTTAGGATCTTTGTGGTATGCACCGCTTGGATCAACCGCAGTATAAAGAAACAGGAGATATAGGACCAGCTCATGCGAGAGTTTTTACAATAGAGTGTTCAGTTTTGGCATTCACCGAAGAGGGTACAGCCACAACGAAAAAACAAGCCAAGCACGAAGCTGCTCGTAAAATGATTGATCGTATAACGAGAAATTTGGACTCAGTTAGTGCAAGGACACTTAGTCCCGACAGTGCTGACAGTGGATCTCCACTCTTGGATTACGAGACGGAAGCTTCAATTAAAAAAGCAATTGATAAGTATCCAGAATTAAGTAAACTTCATGCTCTCGAACAAGGAAAATTAAAGGTGAATATGGGTTTGAAAATATGCAAATATTTTTTAAGCTTTCAAGAATTAGTTAATGATTTTTTTATAACGGAGGAGCATGTGTTTGTGGAAGAGTTGGATAATTTAATTGTTTTGGCGAAACAATGCCAAGAAAATTTTGATGAATCAAAAATGACAGTACTAACAGATAAATTTAAAAATATTTTAGAATCGATTGATGTAAAAGGTTACGAAGTTACTTTACCTAGCCGCGACAATGACATTCATATTGTTGGTGTAAGAATAAACACTGCTCCTGATATTTGCGAAACAGGAATAGGGAAAACTGATCAAGATGCTCTCTTGACAGCTCTGTTGAATGTTTTCTATACTATGAAACTATTTTTAGAGTGAACAACTTTACTTAAAGTAAACTATACATATTATTGAATCAGAGGATTGGTGATGGGTCTCACCAAAGGCATTTTTTATACATTTATCATAATACTTATTTGAAACAGACAACTAATGTATGATCTAGATATTTCTTAAATGATTTAATTAACTTGGAACTTTCAAAAGAAAACTATTTCCAATTTTTCACTTTTTTAAAATACCTTAGGTATTTTAAAAAGATTCTTTATTCGTGTTTTCAACATTTGCGTGCATTTGTATCGACATGTTTATTTTATGTCACATAGCAAAGCAACACCACGAAGTGTCCAATGTCTAGGGTTGTGATCTGTTTCAAAATCAATTGAACCAACGTATTTTTGATCAGTTCTCTGCGGTTTTCTGTATATAGGACACTCGTAAAGCTTTGGATCTTTGCCCGCGGTAGTGTTGATGGCATAAATGTAAATTACTGGCATCTGCTCGTAGAGAACTTTAGCTTTGCTCTCCACAAGTTTCCCAGTTTTCCGATCCAAAGAAGCGCCTTCCAAAAATAACCCGTGTACATAAACGCCTTCTTGTGGTTGTTCCTTGATATCTTCTTTGTTGAATCGCGTTATCAAGTTTTGCAGAACCACTGAATCCAGAGCCCATCCCTTATGTGCTCTCGTTACCTCCTGCAATTGGAGTATTTGTAAAGACTCGAAAAAAATTGTTAATACGATCGATTGACTTGGATCAATCAAATTATATAAAGTCGCTGTACGAAACTTAGTTTGGTTTAATGACTATTTTTATTGTCATAGAAATGATCATGGAAATGATTTTGTTGAAGAAATTTAAATTAATAAAACTTGTTTTTAAATAATTTGAAAAATGTAATTTTTAATATTTACGACTTTTTTTGTATTTGATACGATTTTTTTGCTTCTGTTGAGCATTTACGTGGGGTTTTTGAATGGTGGAAAAAGTTGTCAGTTTTCTAATATCTCGGCTTGGGAAACAGGATACCGCCAAGCCACTTAAAGTGATATGATGTAAATTTGTCCATCGGTTGGAGTTAAATCAGCACTAACAGATGCAGGAGGTCAATTTGCGATTTAAAATCCTAATGAAACATGTAATTTTGAAAAATCATCAAAGCAACTTGTAATTTACCTCTCGCTCTTTCACGCAATTCTACCCAACAATTGACGTCTTATTTTTTCGCCTTTCTTTTCTCACTCTTTTGAGTACATAAAATAGAAAAAATATTACCGTGGCCCTATCCTACAGACACTTAAACCGTCCACGTGGGTTTTGGTTGGGTAGTAAACAGACCGATAAATTAATAGTACAATTCAATACCGCACATGTATTACCATCAAACTCAAGTCATCCGCTTGTTATTGTATTGTTTTTGATCGTCAAAAAATGTATGTATTTCACGATTGAAAGTCACCGATTGTGCAAATTATGATGTTATGTAAGTTTGCAACGATGAAAAAAAATAAACGAAAAATTTTGTTAAACAAAGCATGAAAGAGTTGTAAAAAGTGACGCACTTGTCGCATCGCCGTCAAAAAGCCTTGGGGATTGAAAAATCCCGTCATCCAGAAGACATTGGGCCGGCCGTTGTTGCACCAGTTCCTGAACTGAGCGTCCCTCTCGAGGAGCTCGGTAAACCAAAACCCAAGGGTCGCCGACTCCCACGATATTCTCAACCACTTTTCCGGCAGTCTCGCGTCGTACATCGCGTCCAGCGACTCGCGCAGACCCTGGCTCATCACTATCGTACCGTCGATCGCCAGCTTTAGGTTCGTCAAAGTGGTCTTCACCTCCTTTATGACCCTCGTCATCCTAACAACCACACGCTCCCATCATTTTGAACCCCAGAGACTTGGAAAAAAAAAAAAAGACAAAACCCATACCGATCAACTTCCTGCCTCAGGAAAATATTCATCGGCAGGAGGGGCCCCATCCTTTGCAGGGCTTCCCTGACCTCAAAGGCGTTGTACTCCTTGGGCAACTTGGCCAGCATGTCGTCGGCCAACCTGTAAACGATGCTCTCTCTGGTCTCGCCACCCTGCGAGCCCCCCTCCTTCGGCTGGACGCTGAGAATCGTGTCCAGGATCCCCTTGGCCGTGTTTATTTGATACGTGATGTCGGCATTGGAGTGCAGACCGAATACCTCGGGCGTGTCGTTCTCGGGCAGACTGTTTATGTAATCCACGTAGCCGACGAGGTTCCGGGTCTGGGGCACTCTGTAGCCTTTGTAGAACTCGAAGCCGGCGCGCAACAGCACGTCGCAGAACCACACGTGCGTGAAGGTCGTCAGGAGACGCTTGTCGAAGTCGTCCGTCACGCGGCCGCCGTATTGAACCTTTTTACAAGTGATCGGAAGAGACGTTTTTACGTATACGGAAAGTTTATGGCGAGGCAATAATGCCCCATCTCACCTCGCCGAGCATGTAGCAAACTGTCGGCCACGACACTCCCTTTTTCGGATCCATGTCGTCTAGGTGGTTTTGAATGAATTGCACCGACGCGGCAAAGTCCGCCTGGTTGAATTCGTAGGGAATATTCCTAAATAGCCCAGTTGTCACTCGAATCGATCAGTATAATTATATAAATGGCAATAGCAATGAAAATTGTCGATTACCAGCCAAGTGGGCCGAATTTGCGACGCTCCTGGACGACGGTGTGGAGAAACGCCACGGCGTAGAGTAGAGGTGGCCACTGCGATTGCGTGCTGTAGTCCAAAGTGTCTTGGGTGACCCCCTGGTACGTGCGCCTCATGCTCGCTCGGATGCCTTGTGGCGGCTCGTTTGTGTATTTTATGGCCATCTGCGGAAGATCTTTCGAGTCATCGGCTGCGCGATTTTATTATTTCGAAATTCCGAGAGCCATACCTGAAGCAGACCAATCGGGAACTGAGGATGGACTTCGGTGGTCATCCAGAGTCGGAACGACTCGTGGATTTGGTCCGATTCCACGAGGAGGTCCATAGCCTCCGTGCAAAAGGGCAGGGATAGGTGGATGTTTTGCAACAGCACCCATCCACCGGCGACCATGGCGTCGTTTATCATTTTCCTCGCGTGGTACTCTTGTCCTTGCCCCATCGACACAGATTTGAGTTCTCGAGTGGAAAATGAATAGTTTCTGTTTAGCGAGTGTGTAAAACAAAATGGTTCAATTATTTAGCTTACGAATGGCCTTTTGCTTGGACAGCACCGTGATCAGCGGACTCGGATCCGATCCGATGGATAATATGCACACCAGGGGAGTCCTCGGCTCGGACTCTGTCCACGTGGCCTCGAGGTCTAGAATTTTCGCCTCTCCGTATTCCTTTCCCAGAGACTCGATGATGTACTTCTTTGCCTGGGAAAGAGTCCGGTCTGGACTCCAGGATCTTATGAGGAGCAGCTTGCGGAACACGTCCAAGCTCTTCTGATATCCGCACGGCAGATTTTCTTCCTCGGGCTTTTCTTTCTCGTACCAAACTCTCCACTCGCGCTCGCTAAAATGTTTCGGACGTTAGACACAAAAATAAATGTTTACGTCAATTTTCGGAAGATGTTAATCACCTGAACTCGATTTTCGTCAATACTTCGGAGAAGACCTCCAGTTTACTGATTTCCACGAGGTTGAGCCACGTTATGTCTAAAATCCAGCGAAACGGCTTTGGAGTGACGGCGTTCAAGTCCAGGGACGCTCCACCCTTGATAAAAGCCATGAATTCCGCGTGCGATATGAGACCTTGGTAACAGTCGATTTTCATCGCGAGCATAAGAGTAAACAGGGCTTTGTGCCTCTCGTAGAGACTTCGCAGGGTGAAGCTCCAAACTTCGTGGGTCAAGTGCTTGAGGATGATGTTGATTCTATCGTTCGTGATGGAACTCTTTTCCGACTTTGTGATTGAATTGTCGAAAATTGTGAGGAATTGTTTCAACGAATTTTGATACATGACGTTGACGTTGCTCATCTCGACGATCAAAAAGTACAAAATCGATCCCCGAGCGGCAACTGCTCTGAACTCTTCCCTCGCCACGTTTATCTTTTTTTCCGTCAATGCTGCCACTTTGAGCTTCTCTTTCACCGATTCTGCCGTAGATTTTGTCTCCCTCAACACTCCTATGATCGTTTAATATTTTAATGCAACAATTAAATTGAAGAACAGGCAATTTGTTCCATTACGTACCTATCAAAGCTTCATCGTCAACGAGGGAACCCTCCGATGATGTCAAGCGATGCAAAAGTGTGCTCTCGAGTTCTTTCATCGATCTCTGGTTGGTCATGACGGATTCGAACAGAGCCACTCGTTCCGCTTCCAAATCGGCCTTTTCCATCAAAATAACGCGACCCAGCAATTGATCCTCCAATCCCTGCATTGTCACCGTGAAATCAATGATTGACGTTTTCGCTGATATTTCAGGGCTGTAAGCTGGATTGGGCAATTTCGTGGTAATGTACAGCATGAAGCCAGGCATTACGTCGCATTCCTTGTCACCAACGATCACTTTTTCAATCGAGCCGGATTTGATGAAATTTTTCTCCAGTACGTTGTCGATCACGGGATCCAGTTCCTCCGCTACGTCTTCTATTAGAAGTGGACGCCCTGTACATTAAAAAAAAAAAAATGCATGTCTTTCATACGTATTCTCGATGTAAAAAGTAATGTTCACAAGTTCACCTAGAGACAAGCTGTCTTCCAAATGTGTCCTGAAATACTTATGATTCAGAGATGTGATTTGAAGTTCGTTGCTCGCCTCTTTGTGCTTGATCCACATTTTTCCCTGATTTTGCGGATCAACCAAGAGAGGATAGGACGACGACTTGGTAACAATCAGGGCGTTCTGCACCGAAAGCTCGTCATTCGGCAAACCCTGCAAGGTCCACTCGGATACGGTTGCCGAGTCCACAAGCATGTTGGTGATGTTCAATTCTTGGGTAAACGGGATTGCCCTCGATGTCATGACGCTCATCCAAGAATCGATCAATCCAGCCCTGAACGATTGGTTGTAAGGACCGCAGTAGGACAAGAATCCCGTGGCGAGCAGGACATCGCCGACCAATTTTCCCAACTGAACTTTGAACTCTTTGCTCTGCTCGGTCCAGCGTATTTTCTCACCGCCCAATCCACTGATCAGAGCAGTGGCCGCGGTCATTTTACGCAGACACACGTTAGCGTCGTCCATGAGTCTTTGCTTCTCTGCCACTGCCGCGTCGTATTGAGCTTGCGACGGATCAATGCAAAGTTAAAAAATTATTTTCCCTGGAGAAAAAAAAAAAAAAAAAAACCAAGAAACAACGACTGAACCTTTAACGGCTTGCAACGCCATTTCCCTCTCGGACAGTTCCCTCTCTGCATTCGCGAGATCTTCCATCGCAACTGTTAGCCTGGCTTCCTGCAGCTTCAGATTAGCCTTCAACGGCAAAACTTCCCTATTGACGGAATGAAAGAAAGCCATGGCCTTGGTCCACGACAGCAACCCCGCAACATCCCCGCAAACCCTTCGTGCCGTTTCCATGTTGTAGTCCTCCATTTTAAAATAAGGCTGCAGCAACTCGATCATTTCGTTGTTTATGATGTCCTTGGGGTAATTTTGCAGCTGCAGGAGAAAGGTCGTGCTGGCCATCATTTTCAGTGACTCGGCCCAGGATGGCTTCGGACACGGAGCCGTTGGATCGGGCGCGACGGGTCCGAGCCTCCTCTGGAACAGAATGAGCACGCAGTCCATGATCCTCATGATCAAATGCGGTGGTCGTCCAAGTTTCCGGACAGTCGCTATGTGCGCCGGCTTGATTGTGTTCAGCGCTGCCTCCGCCTCCTCCAGGGCTGGTTTGGCCGCCTCGAGTTTTATCTCAGCCAGCGCCTTCTCCTCGGCGATGGACGCGACCAACTGCTCGGCCTTCTCCTTGACCTTTTGGACCTGGTTTTTAAAAGTCTCGGCCTGCATGGCTCGCTCCGTCACTTCGAGCAGTACCGACTCCGCGGTTTTCGACGCTTGGACCAGGTCCTTCTCCATCTCTGCGAGATCGCGCTTCAGTATCTCAACGGATATCGAGGCTTCCTCCAGCTTCGCCAGTCCCGTGTCCATTCTGCGGGCGCCCTCTCCGAGCTCGTGTTGCTTCATTTGGTAGATGTTTTTGTAACCGCCGATGAAATTCAGGTAAGATTTGGGAGTGACGTGGGTTGCCCTTCTGAAACGTTGGAAGTATTCGACCGAATTGACCGAAACGATGTCCTGGATTGAGCCCAGAGCGTTCACCAGTTGATGTTTGACCTCGGCACTGCAGGCGATGTCAAAGTTATGAAGGAAGTGCTTGGCAACGAGGACGAGGGCGTCTCTGGGCCATGGCTGGAACCTGAAAGTTTCATCAAGTTGCAAGATAAGCCACAAAAGATATCAGTCCTTTTTGAAACAAACCAATCTATCGTGCAACCAGATATGAGAGCGGGAAACCTCATGGCTCGACTTCGGAATTTTTCGCCAACCGGTGAAAAGCAAAATACGACGTGCAAGTTTTGACACGTTCTTTGTAAAAAGTACTCCATCACCATTTCGTTGTTTATGGTTTTCTTCGGATTCTCGCGCCTGAGTATGGGCGTCAGCTCGGATGCTATCTCCGTTTGCTCGTCTCTCGTAAAAAGATTGCTTATGACGCCGGAACTCAAAATATTGTTCAGGTATTCTAGAAAACCCTCTTCTTTGATGTCCAAGTCGGAGAAGATGAACGTGGTGCCTTTTCCCTGGCCACCACACGTTCTGTACAAGAATTTCAAGTCTTCCAAGAAATTGGCGACGTTGTACGACCGCGTCAAAGTTATTTGGAAGGTCTTGTAGCCGGCGATAAAAGACGACAACTTTGTCAAGCTCTGCTTTCCCGAGCCCCCGACTCCCACGAGCATGACGTTGCCCTTGGGGTGCCGGATGATGCGAGAAATTTTCACGAGGTGGAGCATCGCGTCGGGGAAAAATACCAGGTCCATGCCGGCGCCGCGTTGCATTTCGTTGAATTGGGAAAGGAACATGTCCAACCGGTCGCGCAGAACTTGATCTTCGAACACTGGCTCGTACACTTTCGGCAGCTCCGTGTCGGCGTCTTCAGTTTCTTCACCCGTGGGTTCCGGAGCATCTCTGAAACCCATTTGTATGTATTAGTTGTATGCTTTTACAGTATAGGCACAAGACTTTAAAAAATCAATAAACTTTTGTACACCTCATAAAGTCCACGAATGCTGGACTTTTTTGTATCATGTGCGTGTAAGACTCTCCCAACGTATTCGAAACAACTGTAACTAGTTCATTATCGAACCAATCCTTGTCTGCTTGGATCGTCAATCTATCGCTAAATACTCTCTCGCACTCGTGCTTCCAAAGTAACATGAGTATCTCCTCTTTGTCGATGACCGTAGACAGTGTTCCCAGCATACCTTGCCAAATTCTCGACAAATCTCGTAAATTGAAAACGTAATGAAACTTTGCTGGCGTCGGAAGAAGCCTGGCTCTGGTGCTTTGCCACAAGATTCGAGTCAACTCTACCATCTTTTTGACCAAACTCCTGACTTCGGGGGAAAATCCTCGCTTGGAATTGTAGTGGCCCTCTCCCAAGACACTGAAAATTCTGTCTATAGAGGCATCATCCGGCAATGTACAGTTGAATATGCAAAATTGCCTTTTCAATCTCGAAGGTATGTCGTTTCGGCCGCCACCTGGTTGTCCCATCGCACCCATGAAAGTAACATCGACGATCGACGTGAAATCTCCGGGCTTCTCCAACGAGTAAAATCCTTTGGTATCCATCGTCTGACGTACGATTTCGTTGGTTATTTGATCCCCCCACTCGTTTATCTCCGGCAAATTTATGTCATCCACGAAAATAAGCATTTTTTTACCACCAGGTGGTCCGAATATACTGCCCATTCTCTTTTCCACGTAGCTCTCTATCGTTTTTTGAAACTGATAGGGAGTCGTGGCAGAACTAAAATTGAACGACCTGTTCAACGTTGTTTCTGGGTTGGCTTTTTTAATGTAAGCCTTCATCATGACTGTTTTTGCAGAGCCCTGTTCGCCCGTCAATAGAACTGCTCTGTCTTGTTTGCCGATCAAATCTATGAGATACTGAATTCTCACGTTGTCGGGAATGGGAATTACAATGCTACCGAAATCCGGCGTTGCGGATTCTGGGTACACGTAGTTTGTCAAAATACTAGTCCATTGGTCCCACTGTCCCTTGTCGTTGACAAAGAAATCGAAAACTGTGTTTTCTTGTTTTTTCTGATCGCAAGGGAGGTCGAGGGATTCAAAATTTTTTCGCAAATACTCGTCATATTTCAGCCGATCCGCTTTTTCCAGCAGAGCTCCGATTCCCCAAACTAGAGCAAACACATAAAAACGACGAAGGTGCTCCGCAGTCATGGATATTGGCTTATGTTGTTCCATGTCGTCTTCTATTTCCACCTTTTCTTCCACAGCTGGTGTTTCAGGTGGCACTAAACCTTCCAATAGACACAGCATTTGACGAACTATGTTGCATTGCAAGACATTGATCGCAAAAACAAGTGATTGCGTACTCCATAAATAAATCTGCGATGTTTATTTAGTCGAATGAATCCACGGTTATTGACTTTGTATTCGATTAGAAAAAAAAAAATAAAACATAAATCGCGTACCTGAGCAAAGGATTCTTGAAAGCATTGGTCAAACACCTCTTGTTCGAGAGTTGTCCTCCTTTTGAGCCAAGCCGTCACTACTGGATTCCAATCCAGACCCGACGAGCTCATGTAGACCATTCCATTCCTCGAAACAGTTGCAGGACTTGCATTGTCGATGTTGTGCGGCTCAAAGATTATCTTACACGTTGGAGACATTGACAAACGATCGCCGTTAGCCAAAGTTAGGGTTTTGTTATCGTCGAGGACCGAGTTTAAATTTTCAATCCATATACTATCCACCGGTCCATCCAATATCAGCCATATGTTCTCGTCTGATTTTGTTTTTAAAGTTTTTCGCCACAAAGCAGAAAATATTCCATCCGTCCAATCATTGGTCGCGACATCCAAACGACCAAACATTTGAGCTGCCGTTATACTCTTTGGGTTCATCCTCATTTCTCTGAAAAAACACACAATTTTTGTTTTTGTTTTGTTCATAAAGTCCTGTCTCAAAGCGAAAAATCTGACACGCTTTACTTGTGAACTTCTCCACACGCAGTCAATGCTTTCATGAGTATTTGAATGCAAGTAGTTTTTCCAGCCCCCGTAGGGCCCAAAGTCATGATGCCGTGTCTCACTCTTTGAGTCTCGTACAGCTGAATGAGCTTGAGAACCCATGGGGGGTGATAGACCAATCCCTCTTCCTGTACTTGCTGTTCAATGGCTGCCTCAAGCTCTGGATAGGCTGTCTTTTCGAGCAACTGATTCGGAAATAAATCTGCCACCAGTGATATGAAAAGTGGCTCATCCTCGTCTGAAAGTGAAAGTTCCATCGTGGAAAGCTTGACTTGAGCAATTTTGCCGTTTAATCATACGATATACCTATGAGCTTGGAAAGATTCATGTCTCTCAAGACTCGCATGACTATCGTACTCTCGGAATCCTTGGAATTGATTCTTTTCGCAGCCCCAAGCGATCGAAGAACCGACAAAATGTTTCTCAAACCAAAGTCATAGTGCACCTGTTTCGTGAGTTGTTCCTCGCAAAGTTTGTACAACGTGTAAAACTTCCGAGCCAAGGTGATGTTTTCGAGGAAGCCGCAACTCGCCAGTTTCACCCTGATGATGATTTGCCGGTCGGGAACCATCATGGCAACAGTCCGAAACTGAATCTTCAAGTTTTCTGGCAGCTCCTTTCTCCCCGCGTAGCCTGGATTCTGTAAATTAAATTTCATCGTAATTCCCACAAATCAAATAACACCACCGATTCTCCAACCCATGATTATCCACCATAGTTATGAATATCCCAAACTCAGGACACATGTCGATTTGATCCCCATCTGTAAACACAAATTGCTTCTTTTTCTCCTTCTTCGCGGACAGTACGACCGCAACTTGCTGTGCTGCCACTGATAGTACGGGCAACTCGATGCGGTTGAACTCGTCGAAACAGCCCCAAGATCCGCTCTGCGCCAATCCCTTGTAAATACGACCCAAGCCTCGATAGTCCATCTGATCGGAGCAATTGAACACGACTACGTACTTGGCCAGGGTCTTGCCCATGTCCTTAACTGTCTCGGTTTTGCCTGTACCGGCCGGGCCGCAAGGCGCTCCACCCATCGACATAGACAATGCTTGGGCCAACGTTATGTAGCAACGATCGGTCAAAGGCGTGATGACCAATCGCTCGGTGCAGCCCAGGTACTCGTTTTGATAAACAAATTGGACGTCAGTTATCGATATCGATGTCTTGTCCGCGTCTTCTTTGAAATAAAATCTGCACTGTTTCAACCACTCGAAATCGTTAACCGAGCGAACGTTCAAACGGCACTGGAACAAACATGAGCAACTTAGGTATCCTTGATCGACAGTCACGATGGATTTCGCGTACAAACCAGAATATCAAAAATATCCCGCTGATGAACGTGAATGGTGATGAGCGTCTCGAATTTGATCCGGTCGATCTTCGCGAGATCCCTCGTAGTCTGGTCGATCAAAGTGTTCAAGAGCTCGAGGAAGCGATTGTTCGTCTCCCCCATGATTTTCTTGTCAGCTCGGGCCTGCAGCAGCGCCAGTTCGGCGTCCCTCGTCCAAATCATTTGTATGCCCAGGATCCCAACTTGGGCCGGCATCTTGTCGAGGAAACCAAGAAGATTGAAATTTTGGTCGTTCAGCGTTGTATAGCCCTGTCGTATGATCGAGTGCAACGACTGCTGGGACGTTTGCAGAAGCTGCATCAGCCATGTCTCGACCGAACCCTCGGCTCGAACTGCCCTCTCGAGCTAAAGAACGAAATTTTTCTTTTGTTTTGCTCGCAAACGATTCGCATGGGATTTTATTTTCCACGCAAGTGGACGCACCTGTATCGTTTCTCCCTCCGATGAAACGACAGCTATGATTTTGTTGTACTCGATGTCGTGGAATTTAACGTACCTCGTATTGTCGAAAATGGACAACAAATGGTTTTGAATGGTGTGCGAGTCAGACGCTTGGCCAAGTATTTCCAGCAGAGCCGGGTCGGACACGAAAAAGAATCTCGGAAACATCATGCGCTTCTTTTCCAAGTACCTGCGCGTAAGCATCGAAAACTGTAGTAATCCGCGGTGAAAAAGAATCAAGTATACATGTGTAGGGAGAACGAAGCGATTCTCACCCGCTCAATGATTTCTGGCACAATTCGAGCTGCTCTTGCAAGTGGGGCAGCAGTTGCTTGAGCAGGTCGTCACCGACGCAGCAGGGAACGACACCCGGCGTCTCGTGGGCTCGTTGCATTATTTTCTGCCAGCTTTTGTCGATTTTGCTGAAACGCTTGGCCTCCTTGGGCAGCTGCTTGGCAATGTCCCCGCCCACGAACACTGCCTCCAGGTACACCCACATGTTTTGCACGAGGAGCCAGCGCTCGAGTATCTCGTTGGTGCTCGACAAGTCTCCCAGCCATTGCTGAATTTGTTTGCGGAAGGGCGCGTTGTAGCGGTTCGACATGAGCGAGCCCAGTATCATCAGGCTGTCCTCTAACGATCAATAGATCTCGGTTTAAACGTTTTATTTTGTAAAGAAAAAAAAAAAAAAAAAAAATTCGAAAATCATGTACCGAGTTGGCTGATGGTCTCGGCGGTGGTGTCACCCCGAAGCAACAGCTCGCCCCTGTTGTTGAAGGTCATGAAGGTCAGCTCGTGCGAGGACCACTCGTTGATGACCTGCCGAAGTTTGGCTTCGATGTCCTTTTCCTTCATGGCCGAGATGCAAATATCCTCGATGTCCTCTTTGTACTTGAGCAGCGGCGCTTCTAGGATATTTTTCAGGCAAAAGCCCTCGCTCTCGAGATCAAAAGTGTGGCTCGTGACTTCGACGATTCGTTGCCAGTGTCGAGGCTTCATGGCTTTGTTGGCCATCAGCTCGAGAAGTGGGCACATGTCGTTAAAATCATCTATCGTTTTCTTGAGGGCAAAAAACGCCGGCCACTCTTTCAGGCCCTTGGGCAACTTTCGGCACCGATTTTGGAATTCCATCAGTTCGTTGTTTATTTCTTCTATGTTTACCTTTGTTAAAAAAAAAGATATGGAAAGTGATTCACGAATAATTATGAAAAAAAAAAAAAAAAAAAAAAAAAAAAAAAACGAGATAGACATGAAAACCCCATCACCTCGCCCCACGGTATATCGTAGTAGCTGCTGCTGACTCTGTCGATAACATCATTGTACAGTTTGTACAACTTCTGCAGTAGATTCAATTCCTTTCTAATCTGCGATAGTTCCGGATAGTCGGTGATCGGCAAGCCAAACAGTTCTTCGCCGCTCTGGTAGGCTTGGAGCTTTCGCCACATCCCGTCGAAGCGATTTTGGAAGAGGATCTGCCGGTCGGAGGCCTCGCGCGGCGTCAAGCCAGCCTGCATGGGCCCCGACGTCCGGTATTCCTCAACGTACGTCTCGTTGTCGGTGCGGAATTTCTCGAGATTGTTGCGCAGCTCTTCCTCGAACGAAGGCTGGAGGTTCAGCAGGTGCACGTGGCTTTCCAGAGCTCGAGCTTGCAGCTGCTGCCACGTGTATCTGATGGTTAAACACATTTTGAATTTGTCCTAGCTCCTGTTGTGATTGGCCGTACCGTAAATTGTCCACTTGTTCGAGACATTCTCGGTCAACTGGTACCTCGTATCGTGTCACGATGTTGAAAGCTTCCTCGATCGGATCGATTTTCAAGTCCATGTCGACTTCTTGTTCCCGAATTTTCCTCAAAGTTTCCATGATCAAACGGACGTCGTCTAAATCCCTGATTTGGCGATCCAACTTTCTGTCCATTTCGTTCATGACGGCGTAAACGTATTCCATTTCTCGGCGATACTTTTTCTTGATGGCTTGGCCAATTTTGTGCGTGGAGCCTAGAAATTCCACAAGTGATCATAAAAACACTCTACGTAATACATGTTTTTCGTTTTCGTATTAACGAATACTTGTATGTACTTTTGATTTCCGTCAACAGGGCGTATTTGAGTTTTTCCGTTGAAACGGCAATGGAGGTGCCAAAATTAATCATGTCAGGCTCGGTCGCCAGTTCGTCCTCGAGCTCCCCGTGTTTTCTCAGCATGTTCTCGAACTCTGTCAACGACACTTGCAAAAGCTCTCTTATACTGCGTTCGTTTGTCCAAAGAAAATTGTAGGGTCTCCAGCGATCCAAGAAATCCGACAAGTCCTACGCGCGGTTGATACAAATTTTCATTGTGAGAATGCGTTGAAAAAAAAAAAAAAAACTAAGCATCAATAACAAAATTTCCAACTTGGCGTAGTTCTTGGGTACAAGCACTCAGTATTGAGAACATTTTGACGATTTCCTTGTTATCCATAATCATGGAGAAGAAGTTTCGCTTCTGCACGGGAAACGTGGGTTTTTCTTCCGACATTATTTTGTACAATCTTCGCCTGCGTGCTTTCGGATCCTCCATGGTGCTCTTGTTACGTTTTTCAACTTCCATTTGCGCTTTTGAGACAACGTCCAAGAAATTTCTTTTCGGCGCGTTCGGTAGCGACCGCCAACAAGTCTACAACGTAAAAGAAAAAAAAAAAAAAAAAAAAAATTACTCGAACCATCGTTGATCCACAGCTGCGGCACCCGCCTCTTACTTTTTCGTTTTTCCCGTCCTTGGCACCACCATCCCATTGCGCGACGCCCTTGGCAACCCCAGCTATTGCTTTTCCGGCTATTATCAGCGCTTCCTGCACGTCATCGAGGCTTGGCTTCACCATCACCGATGGTATCATGAGCGTGGCTTGCAGCAGGAACACCGGAGTTGTAGTTTCATCTTTCGGGGGTAAATTGTTACTTTCAGACGACAAAGTTACATATATACATATACTCTTTGGGCCTACCTGCGTCGTATTCGCGCGAGAACCGTCTTCTGATGGCATCGAGAGACGTCTTCGTGACCTTAATAAGCACATCCACGACCTTCCGGGAGTAATACCTCCTCATCTCGGCAACGGCGTTCCCAACCATATCTTGCATCGCCTTGGACAAGCTTCCGTCCTCGGTGGACAGCAGCTTGTGCGGGTCGTCGAAGCACGCCCACACGATGGACCAATCTTGCTGCTGCTGGGAAACTTCGGACGACTCCAGCTTGTCTGTATCTTTGGCGAGGGTCGTTTGGTCTAATCGGGTGAACAATCCCCCCCCCCGCCTAAGTCTTACCGTTCTCGTCGAGAAACTCAAAGTCATCGGGAGCCACGGACCCTTTGAAACTCGCGGCCGCATTTTTCACCAATTGCAACACCTCCTCGACAGCCTCCTCCACCATGAGGCTCTTGCCGTGAGCTTCCAAGGCAGCTGCTCTGCAGGCCTCCTCCGTTCGCTCCACGAACTCCTCCACGCCCCAAGGCTTGTCCTCCGGTAGCGCGTGCATCGTTATTTTGTGCATACTCGCGAGAACTTGCAAGATTCTTTGATGACCGGTATGTTTAAGTATATACATGTAATTTTTTTTTTTTTTTTCTTTCCAACGGGTCAAAGATGCCTATACCTGTTTGTGTAGACGTCGTGGACTCTGGTTATGAGAACGTCGAAGGTTTTGATTTGGTCGCGAGTGCGCTGGCAAAACTCCCTCCAGTCGGGCTTTGTCCACGTGAGCGTGTAGAGGGCCGGTTTCAGCAGAGAAGCCACGCGGACGAGGTGGGGCAGCAGCAGAGGCCGTACCTCGAGCTTCACGCGCCTGGCCGTGTTGACAAAGTCCTCGATCACCAGGTGCAGCGAGTCCTTCACCAGGACAAAGTGCTCCCTTTTCGCGAGCATCGTTTTCGCGACTATCGGGATGTCGAGGCTCATCTTGGCTAGGCAGTCCGCCTCGCGGAGTAGAAGGTTTATCCGGCTTTCCAAGTTCACTTGGACCTTTCCGCTCGCTTCGTCTATTTTCAATAGGTTTCTGAAATCACCGGTTGGACCGTCATGAGTAAGTAAAACCCCGTTCATCATGGAAAAATACCACCGAGTACTTTTTGAGGCAGTCTTCGATTATCCAAGAGTTTTGACTAGTCCAGACTTGTTTGATGTCCGATTGATACTGCATTATCACGGAGATGGCGTTGTTGTATCTTTTCACGAGATCCGCAGTTGTCGGTAGTGTTTTCAGTACCGGATGAGAAGAGACCGAGGTCGCCAGCTCGTCCAAGTGTATTCTAAACATTTTTACTTGTGGTAGAGTGATTGTTTTTTCAAGTAAAAGAGGGTTTGCCGTCACCTCAAGGAATTGGCCCAAGTTAGTCTCCCTGCGATCGGTGGCAAATGCCTGGGGATCGGGGGATCATCCTTTAGCTTTTTGAACAGCTTGAGGGTTCGTTCTATCTCTTTGTCGCAGTATTTCACCACCAAATTGTACTTCTCGTCCAACTTTGTCAGAGGAATTTTGTCGCTAACCTGATCGCAAGGAAGAGTTATTTTTTATAATTAATTTCGATACCGAGACCGTTAAAGATCCGATCGAAAGAATTCACATATATGTGTCACGTGCTTTTTCGAAGCGGGTGAGAAAACGGATTCCTTGCGGTGTCTCCCAAACGTCTGCGTAATTTTTCTCTATCACGTTGCCGACGTTTTCCTTCAACGCGTCCGTCTCCGACATGAAGGTATCATAGTCGCCGTCAAACTCGGCGTTCCGAGGGTCCAAGTAGTCGTAACTTTTGCTTGTTGCAATCTTTTTTGCTTCCTCGAACGTTTTTATGGTCTCGTCCAGTGCTTTGAAAAAGATGTTGGTTTTTTTTATTCGATCACATGATGAAAACGTGCAACATACCTTCTCCCAGCAACAGACCCTCCATCCTTCGTTCGAACAATTTTTGGTAATCTTCGATCAGATCGAACATTGTCAGGATTTTCCGTATCCTCGCGCAAAACGAGTCAAACCGTCCAAACACGTGGGTCTCGGAAAATGAGAACTCCTCTTCCGTTATAGCCGGCGAACAACGCACCAATCTATAGGTTTGTCGATACGCTCTGCAACAAAGCACGAAATTAAGGAACCACATGCTGAAGAACTGCCTGATACATGAATCCTAACTTGTTCAGCCTCAAACAGTGTTTGAGTTTTTGCCGGGCGGTAATTCTGTCTTGGCCCCAAACGGTGTCTCGTCCTCGCTGGGTGACGTAGTCTCTGCAAGCCGCAATCATTTGATTCGTTATCTTCACCATAAGCGAGCTCGTCCTCTCCGACGTGTTGTAGTACCTCGAGACGCTGTATATCAGCCTCACCGTTTGCAACAGAGACACCAAAGAGTCTCGCATTCGTACCTGTACGCACACGTAGCACGATAATTCGTAAAATTTTGTCAACAAGGGGAAAAAAAAACATCGATCTCACCGGGTCGTCCAGGTACAAGCAGTGACAACACTTTTCCAACGCTTGGATGAATTTCGCGTTGTCCTTCGCCTCGTTGAAACAATACATGACCTCCTCTTGAACGTCCGTCCAATCCTTGAGCAACTTGGATCTCGAAACTTGCAAGCACAACAAAGTCATCCTCACCTCGTTGTCCTAAACAATAAAAACACCCAAGAATAAAGAGAAAAAAAGACAATTTTTATAAAACCCTAAGCGCTTCACCCACCTGCAACCTCGTTACTAGCTGACTGAACTGGGCTCCTCGTCTCTTCCAGTACTCAAGCTCTTGCTGAGGCCCGGAGCTGTCGTTCTCTCGCCTCACCTGCTTGCACTCGAGCATAAAGTCCTTCAGCCTCTTCATCCAGTCCACCACGCGAGCCTCGATCTTTTCCACGACATCGTCGTTCGTCACGAGGGCTTTGGCACTCTCGGCATCGTGGACATCGTCCATCATGCTCTGACCATCCTCAAAGATGTTACCATCGTTCGACACTTCCTCGCAAACTACATTCAAACAGATTTGATGTTTTCTTACGTTTTTTTTTTATAATTTTGAGAAATAAAACATCGAAGTTACGGAGCACGAGACCTTTCAAGGCACTGCAGAACGACCTCAAGCCAGGCAGGAGGACGCTCTTGATCATAGGACAATCGTCCTCGTCCTCGAGGCCGGGATGTGCCAGAGCGTCCATGAAAACGCGCTCGATAACGCGCTGAATGTAAGGTACTACGCCGACCCTCGTGGCGTCGATCACCCCCGTGTAAAGGTCCTTTTGAAAGCCCTCCTCCGGCAGCTGCTTGGCGATGTTGATGCTGCACGAGACGTTGCGCGAAAATAAAAAGTCAACGCAATCACGTAACGTTATTTTTGATAATATAGTGTGTAGATCCCTTGCGTTTTTTTTTCCCAACGCGAATATTGGAAAAAAACTACTCTTGTTATTAGTTTGCCCGTGTGACTTCCCTGAAGTTATTTGCTTATTCGAGAATTGATTAATAACGTGCAACTCAAAATACCACGCGATAAGTAATTTAACCGGTTAATTTACCAGTTTCTATTTAAATGGATTGCAAAGTAGACACGAGACAATTGCTTCGAAATAACCACCCGAACCGTCAAAATACTTTTTCTTCGAGGATATTGTTGAAAAACTAACGCTCGAGTGGCCAGTTCCACCCTTCTCAATTGAGTGGTCCAATCAACCCCAATCTAGCAACGAACAATTACCGAAACATATAGACACACATGCCGGTGCAAGGGACCTGCCAGCCGTCGGTCAGAAACAATTTTTTCTTGGGCGGCTCCTTGGGCTCCTTGACCTCCTTGACCTTGGCCCCGGCTGTATTCTGCTGCGGACGCGAGCCGCTACTCTTTGCCAGCCCCTAAACACAGATCCACATACAGTTTCACTTCGACGAAAGACAGTGGCTTCGCGAATCGCCAACCTGGTCGGTGGATCGCTGGATCTCGGGCTCCTCCGTTTCCTGGTAGAACCACATGAGCGTAGCCCTCATGTGCGGCAAAAACAACTGGTTGATCTCGTCCAGCATGTCACCCTCGAACACGTGATCCATCACCTCGTGCCTCGGCAACCCAGTCGCGTCTATCAGCAGCTGGAACGTGAACTCCAGCCTGGGGTCCATCTCCCCCCGTCGCGCCTTCCGCTCGCATTCTTCTCGCCGTCTCTGCAACGTAAGCGGACTTTGTGTGTTTAAATATATGTACACATTTTTTTTTTTTTTTTTTTTTTTCAAGAAACTGAGGTAGGTATATATTTTTGTCTCTTGAACCTGGATAACGTCTCCAGATCCCTCCTCCTCGCTGGCTTCGTCCGAATTATCGGATCTCTGTGTCGTCACTGTTGGCCCGAGCACAAACATCACTAATCCAAACTTTGAACTATTTTTTTTGTGCAAAATAAGATGAAAAATAAAATAATAATAATAGTGTACATCCAACTTGAGTACACCCAAGGGTCTGCTATATAGCCAAGCTTCGATCTGTCGCTCAGTGTAGAGTAACGCAGCCTTACACTTTCCGTAAGCAACGCAACGAGAGCGAGCAAGAAGGGTAGAAAACAACAGGCGTGCAAGGGGGCGCGTGCGAGTGGAAGTGAGAAAACTGACGCGAGTCGAGCTACGTTGGCTACAGTGAGTTGGCCGATTTTTCATGATCGATATTTTCGATCGCGGAATGTGGATGCGTTTAACTAGATCAAGAATTCACTGTTGTACCCAAACTGACGGTATCAATAATTCTGTAGAGCAACGAGCAATTTTTACGCATCTTGCTCTGTACTTTCAATTACATAGGCAGCATTTTCTATAAGAGAAGAAACCGATGCTAATTGAGTATCAAAAAATTTTCTGTAACTCTTTCTGTATATATTTCATATTTTCATTCCTCATTTCGATTGTATTAAGATTTGTTTATTTGTAGGCATAACACCCTCCACAACTTTTGTCTACTCAATATGTCTTTAGAATTTTAATTTTGTTCTCATATAATGTTTGTTTGTATTCGTTTATTGACAAGTTCCTTTATTTTTTGAAGATAACTCGTTTTACATTTAATTGGTCTAAGGAGATCTTCATATTAAAATTTTGAGCTTGGCCTTTGTTTGTCGAAGAAGCTATTCAAATCAAGTTAGGTCTTCTTTGAAGAAAATACTATTTCTAATTTAATTTATGTCGAATAGTTGTACATTTTGTATACCGAAGAAATGATTCTACAAATTATTTGTATCTAGGAATCCGATGATTTAATCGAACGTTTTTTTCAGTTGAAAGAATCACCTCAGTTTTTTAGACCGCAGAAATTTTATTGCGAAAAATAAAAATTGAATTATTTTCAGTTAGGAACTATACAAGGAGCAAAAAATTTAATTCTTTTTTTTTTCTATTAGTACATTGTTTAAAATTACAGCTTTGAGGAAATACTTTACCTAACGTGCATTCAAAGTATTTGTAATCACTAAGTTACGATTAGTTTTAAGAAAAATTTCAAACGTGCTATATATTAATGCAATCTAAGATTCGAGAGCAATAAATTTAATTCCACGTATGTTCACGTATTATTATGAATTTGCCTACAAAAGTAAATACCTTCATATGCGTATTAATAATAAGAGGATGGTAATAAAAATAAAAATAAAAATAAAAATTTTTTAAATTAACAAGCAAGACAACAAAGAAAGGTTGTACAAACCTTTTTTTTAATAACTATGAAACAACAGTGACTAAAACTTATGTATTGAAGGTTCCAATTATTGTTATAGATATCTCGAGATATGACACAGAGTGACATAAAAAAGCTTTTTAAATAAAACTTTACTATAGGCAACAACGAAGAAAAAAAATGAAGGCTCCGATATCGAAAAGGACAATCTTACTTTGGCCTCCTCTTGTGTTTCGATCATCGCTGTATCGAAGCCTCAACACCGTGCTGTTTCTCCTCTCTCGGCCCTGAAGTCCCACGTCCTCGTACGGTCGAACTTCAAATGCGACAAAAAGCTCGACCCACGTATTTCTAGGCTCATTCCTCCCTTCTCTTCCACTTCCCATTCTCTGTATCTCCTGTCCTTAAATTTCCGTGCAAACTGTACTCGATCATCGTTTATGTTAATGGCCAATGCGATGTCTGGGGTAGATTTCCGACCGCTTCATTAAAGCTGCATGCAGCCACGCAAGCTCGCATGATACCTCCTTCTCTTTTATTTATTTTTTTTTTTTTTTTATACCCAGTATGAAGAAAACTCCATTTGAGAACTTTGGAATATTCAATACGGTGTCTCGGCTTCGTAATAGTAGTTTTCCTACGAGTTTGAAAAGTCTCTGTTTGCAAACCGAGAGGTTTGCGGCCCGAGCCGAAGGCGAGGGACGTAACGAGGTTCGTAAAGGAGACTTTTCGAACGAGTTCCGGAAAACTGCTTTTTCGCCCGAGGAAGTACCAGCCTCCCAAAACCACCCGAGGGCGGAAAAATATTTTTTTCCCTTTTTGTTTACCAAGTTTTAATTTATTGCAATGCAACAGTAAAAAAGTACAAAAATTAAAATATATAATTCCATTCGCAAATAGATTCGCATGTACATCGCGTCAATCGCAATCCTCGAGTATTTAAGTGCATGGATGCGCTGTCGAGCGATCAACAGCGGGCAAATGCAACGAAATCATCTCTATTAGTTGGAAACTTAAATAGAATCGAAAAATGACAACGAACAGTCAGTTGGCGTGCATTCAAGACTTTTAATATACCTAGGAATAAAATGGAGCAAAGCAAGTGGCTTGTCGCACACACACACATATATACATATATATGAGTTTCGTGACGGCAAGCTCAATAAGAACTGTTGCGGTGCTTTTTGTGGTTTGATTGTTTGCTTCCCCCTTTCCCTTTCTTTTCTGTAGTTACGGACAACGTTGGGTCCGTTTAATTTGTTACCTGAGCCAGCTTTGTCGGGCTAGTTTTATTTTTCTTTTTACCTCCAAGTGCACCGCTTTACATTGAAAACTTCAAGCTCAAATGGGTTTGGAGTGAGTCGAAAAGTAAAATAACTCCTTGGAGAATCATCAAAACATCATGTGGATGGCACTTGCTGGGTGTTGCTGAAACTTGGAGTTAACAGGGGGTAAAAAAGCAGATTGGGATAATAGAGGCTGAGGAGGACAAAAAAAAGAGTAATATGCCAGGTGAGGGAGAAAATAACAAAGGTGGCAAGAGAAAATTACGTGCTATCGTGTGGTGGCTGGGAAGGAGCTGAGTGGATCTGAAAAAAAGGAATGTGTAATTGTAGCTGTGATGGGTAATATTCGTAGAGCAAAAAGCTGTAGGAGTTTTGGTCTTAAGGTAAGGAATTTTGTCAGCAGCAGCTAGTCGGAGCTTTACCTCCTTCTTGTCTCCCTTTTCCTTTTGTTCTTTTATTCCTTTGAAGCAAAGGTTTTTTTATTGCACAGTCGTTTTTTTTTTTTTTTTTTTTTTTTTTGTGTAATGGATGTAGTTGGCCATTTTACGCAAAGCACTGGGAAAATTTTAGAGACTGTTTTTACTCAGAAATTAAGGAAGACATAAAGATATAAAGATAAAAGAAAATAACTGCAAATGAAAAAAATTATTTAAAAAAATTACATTTCATGCATTATTGACAATATTACAATTATCGATGTACCAAAAATCGAATCAGAAAGTGAACATTTACTTTAATTTAAGAGAATTATGGTTTTTGAAAAGAAGGTGACATTAAGATAGTATGCAAATGAAAAAGTATGCCGTATATTTAAATAATGCAATATAAAAAGGTTAAATAAATTAGACATGAAACGCAGTGAAATTTAATAGTATTGTATAGTGAGAAATTGCAGTTACTACGTTCTCACCGTTTATTATTGGAATCATACTAATCTAGGCTCTAGGACAATAGTAGTTTTTTTTTTATTTTTTAATACAATACCTTATCGTCGTCATTATCATACTTGATCATCACATTATATTACACATATTTCTTATCCTATTTTCTTCATGCACTCGAAGCGTCTTGATCGCGCGCTCGTCACGATATTCACTTCATTCTTCGGGATGTATAATTTATTTATAACTTTTTTACGTTCTTTTAATTTTTACAGAATTACGAAGAATAGGAATATTGAATATTACGCACTCGATGTTTCTGAGGGCACGAGGCAAAAAACAAGTACTTGTATTTGGCACTGTTCGCAATTAATTTTCTTCTTCTTTAAATCAACAACAAACAAAAAGTTGAAAATATTTTATTTTCATGCAATAAACATTAGATGAAAACAAAATTACAAAGAATCATTAGACCTCGTGCCTTCAAAAACGCTCGATGCAACATTTATTTTGTCTAAGAAGAAGAAAAAAAAAAGATAAATAACGCTTTCTCGCCAAGCCTGTTTATAATAACTGCGTATAGAAGCGAAGAGCGCGATGAGCGGAAAGTTGCTTCGAGCGAGCTGTTTATTGTAGAACGCTACTGTACTCCTTAGTCGAGCATTGACGATGGTATTTTTGCTTAATTTTTTGTCGTCCGTATATTTTATTTTTATGTCTTGTGAATGTCAATTTTCGTCATCGGATACATTATTTTGTCAAGAAGAATTTTTTTCCTGAAGTGTACATTTTTCAAACTTTAAAGTCAAAAATATTTATAAATATACGTAACGGGTTATACAGAGTATTTTTTTTTTTTAACATACTTAATAGTATGCAGTAACAGTTTTTCTGTTTTATCACAAAAACTCTCATTGCATAGATATAATTCACAGTTTTTTAGATTTGTAAAATTGCACAGCTTTTAATTTTCGTCTATATTTTTTGCATGTCTATACATAATTTCTTGCGTGTATGAAAGTTTTAACGGCGCTTGAACTAACCATTGCAAAACTTTAAACGGCTGAATTTTCGTTTCAATTTTAATTATATTTTTCTATGTACAATACTTGACATGAGCAGAGCTGAGTGATCATTTAAAATAGTGTAAAAGTATATAATATTTATCTTACATAACAAGAAATATTTTCATCTGTTGTTTTTTATTTCCGTATTGCATGAAATAGTCATATGTTATTTAATTCAAAAATATTCATCAATGCCATTTTCACACTCCAATACTCGGTATAAAAACTTCTCTTTTACTTTTTGTGAAAAACAAACTTTATTTGTGAGTGATAAGTATAGTTGTATTGGCTCCATGTGCGTTTACATGTAGATTATACAAAAATTTACGTAAATAAACGCAAACTGGCACGAATTTAGGTATAATTCAAACAATGTATTCAAATGAGATACGAAAACAAGTGTATGTACGTGTGTGTTGTAATATACTAAGTATTTGACTACCATATACTTGGATGTATAAAATTGTGATATGTTAAAAATTATATGCTAATAAGTATCTTTATATTTTTTATTACCTAATACATAACAAGCTCAGACCAAAATTAATCTTTTAAATGTGTAATGTTAGCGTTCATAGAGTATACATAATAATTATACTTTTAACGCTCAGTTAATTTTATTGAGGTCTGAAAATATTTCTCTCGTAACACCGTACAGTATATCAATATACACGGATATTTATATATATATATATATATTAATATATNGACAAGGTCAACAATATACAGATTATGATAAAAACGATTTTTGCATTATTATAAGCTCTCTACATTTGGCGAGATTTTTTTGGTATTTGTATGTATATTTATTAATTTTTTTATTTTAAACAAAGACTCTAACTCGCTCGAGTACTGTTCTTAAGAACACTATTTTTTTTTATTTTTTATTTATTTTTTTTATTTTATTAATTATTGAAACATTTATCCTCTTCGTTCGTTTGCCCCTTTTTGCCCTTGCACATGTATGTTGTTCACTGATTTCGGTTCGTACGTGATTCCCATGTTTCGCTTTGGCCTCGAATCAGCGTGTGAATGAAAAAATAAGACGGTCAGAGGCTTATCTAAAATTTGTTATTCACTAAAACTGCCCGACGTACTACACACGCTTATACCACTGAATTGTTTTCTTTTATTCATATATCACTAGTAGAGAGGGAAAAAAAATGTATGTCGATAGAATCTTTTTGCAATTTTCGAGACGTTTTTCCATATTTTTACGGAGCGATTTTTACAATTATCATACCAAGTGACGTTTTTTGGTGTCTGTTGTTTCCACTAAGCGAATTGCTTCAGTTTATCGATTTTCGTATTTATATTCCGCTTTGACAATATGCGCCTGTAAATTATAATATCTTCACACTTATGAAAGAAGTCACACTTATTTTTTATATCAGGTATCCACTCGAACTCAAGTATTTAATTTAAAAAAATGCAAAAAAAAATTCCTTAACGCAACTCTCGTTTCACAATACAAATGAACAAGTACTCATGGCGTGACAATCCATTACTATATAAAACGCAAACAAACTTGATTACCTTATTTTCTAAATAACGTACGAGTCACATACTGTTCGAAGTTCTTCTTTTATTCATATTTATCAGACATACATAATTCGCCTCTCCATTTTTGCATTTTTTTTTATTTTTTATTATTATTTTTTTTTTTTTTCGTTTCGCTTTAACAATCACTTTTTTTTGAAATATTAATAACAGCACGCCCACAGTGAGGTACGTTTAAAAAACTAGTACAAAACTGCTAGTACAAAAAGGTTATATATTTTTTTAAATATTTTAATATTTTTTCATAATAACGGAGGCCACCCGGGAAACTGCCAGGATCAGCTCTTCCATAGTTCGTCCGCACTTGTTTCGTATTTTCATCCCGTGCGTTTTTCGCTTCGCTTTCTTTCGTCGTCAATTTTTTTATTCCTCTCTCTCTCTCTCTCTCTCTGTTTCACTTCTTTTTGTTTAATTCATTTCTCCCGCACATCTGCGGTTGTACTACTGTCTTTCACAATTTATCTTTTTTTTTGTTTGTCTTCATCGTATATTCTTCAAACTTGCACTTTTTCATGTGAATATTATATATACCTATCGCACCCTCCGGTTGCATTGGTTTAATGCGTTTCTATTACACGTACATACTTGTCTGTATATTCCCTGTTTGCATTTTTCTACGAAATATTGCTTTTATAAAACGATAAATCAAATGAAAAAAAAAAATATATATATNTATGCTGTGTTTAATTTTAAAATTGAAGCACATAATTGAAATTTTATTATTTGATTCAAACGGGACATAATTTACAGTTTTATTTTTGAATAGTTTTAAAAACAATTGAAGAAGATTTTAATTTCTTTCCTCCTACAAGCATCAAAGCAAAAACACATGTTTACTCACATTTAAGCCCTAGTGCACTTATTATCTCGACTTATAAATGTTTTTCTCGTGAATTTTCTTTGCGTTCGCATGGCTCATTATGTGCAGCTTAAAAATTGGAACCTTTGCAGCTCGTATCGCCGAAAATTTGAAATTTTATAAATTCTAATACTGTCTAATAATTCGCTTACTCAATAAGTACAATAGTGCGCTGCAAAACGACGAGCTTTTTTTTACAAAATTACATTAACGCTTCGCTATATAAATACTAGTATTATCGTTCGATTTTTAATCTTACGTTTGAAAATCGCTGTAAGTTTTTTTTATTTAAAAAAATTTTTTTTATAGCTTACGTATTGTAACTAGTCGACGGAGCAACAAAATACTAATGATTTGAAAAATGAAATAAAATTAAAAAAAAAAAAAAAACTAGTTCCAATCATTTTTACGCGCTAACATAAAATAGATTTTTGCCTACACAAATATTTTGAAGGTGTAAGAAACAGTTATCATGTGCTCGCCGGAGGGTGCAAATGTTTAATCGCTCAGTAGTTACTTGGAAATAAGAATCGCACGATGTACCCTCGATTCGAAGGTCTCAATGTACCTCCTTAGCGTTTGCTATTTTATAGTAATTATAAGTATTACAGTTAATTATTAGTATTACAGTATAGCTGGATATCTGCGACTGTTGATGATTGCGCTACGCGAGAAAGTTTCCATTAAGTACTAAATAGTAGAATATTTTATTTATTTCTCACTCCTTCTTTTTTTTCGTTCGATGACGTGACTCTCGACAATAAATATTATAGTACTCGCGAAAATCGATGTTGGCGTTTATTTAGAAGAATGATTTTGTAACAACGAAAAATGATGCTCACGTTGATGAAAACTTTAAAAAGGTCGTTAGCAAAGTGTAAATCTGTTCTTTTAATATGATTGATTTTATCATGAAGCACGATTGTTACTGCGAAAATAGTAGAAGTGACACACTTAGCTATTGAAAGAGGGACATAATTTGCTCTCGTTTAATAGTTAGTTCATGTGGAATCAGTGATTTTTCACTTAAATAAATTTAAAGAATCAACTAATCACTTTGTAGGACTGACGTCAGCAATTGTTAATGTCTTTGAAAAGTTAAATAGTTTAGAAAAAAAAGCTGATGATAAAACTGTTACGGCTAATTTAAACTATGGTTTTGCGGATGCAAAGAAAAAAATTTTTCTCAATAACTTCACGACTTTTTGACTTTCGAATTACTACTTATTTTTTTTTTAGTTTTCGATTATGCCTCACGATAACGACATGATTTTGCATAAAAATAAATGAAAATACAAAGGTGTAACAGAAATTTCGGAAAATTTTTCTGCTTATAGCACGCGCTCCGCCAGAAAATTTTTGCGTTAATGTCGCATCACACTGGTAGAGACATCTCTGACGATGATTTAATTTTTATTTCTTTTCATTCTTTTTTTTTTTTTTTTCAAGTTAATTGACTAGAATTTTTTGCAAGTTTACCTTTTAAAATTAGTTTCACCTCATGTATCCACATTAATATACATGCATTCGTAACTCGTTCGTCTAAATTAAGCGATTTTTTTCTAGCTAAGTTTGTCATTTGTGCGCTGCCTTTCATGCCAAAAAAAAAACTGGACTTAACATTCAACAGAGTGATGAGTACGTTAATTTATGAAGCACAAAGTGAAATTTTTCTTTTTTAAGGTGTATTTTTACGGTAAATTTACCTTGCCAAGTATTAAATGCTCTTCATTAAAATTTAACGAGAAATCATGTATTTTTACAGTTGACACACATGTAAAATAGCTCGAATTCAGGTGACCGATAAATTTCTAAGTAGCAAAGTTTTAAATTGCAGTCGAAGAATATCGAAAGACGAAGTTGCGCCGTCGATTTTGTCTAAGCTTTGTTCGATAACAAGCGAATCGAGACAGATAAAAATACCCTAACTAAATGCTACAGATAAAAGCGCGGGTGAATTTATTTATTTATCATTAATTTTTTTTTTTTTTCCAACCAATTTTCTTTACGTCGCGTATTTTCGTAATAAAAGTTTGCTACACGTTTGCTGTTGTATTTAAAATACAGCTGCGTTTAATTGCGTTTGCGTCTATAGGTGCGAGAAAAAAAACTTTCGTGCTTCGTTTACAAAAAACACGGTTCGCTCGACGTGCAACGTATACACCTATATATACATATAGGAATCAAATTGATTTGTCGTACGAGGGAGCAATCAGCGCGAAATTGTGAAATAAAAGGGAAAAAACAACAAGGGGTCCTTCTCCCACTACCTCGTGTACACTCTCGTTTGGATGGCTTTTGATAATCTCGATTTCGAACCGACTCTGGAAAAGCAAAACGAAGCACACGCTTTTTTAAGCGACCGAGGCGCGCGCAAAGTTTGATTGCTCGAACACATTATATGATACACGAAAGCCCGATTCAAGCGGCGGCAAACTCCTTTGGAGCAATACGGAGGATATCTGTCGTAACGTAGTTTCGCAATACCATTTCCTTCCTTTTCTCTCCCTAAGTGCCGTTTTCCATCTCCAGCCCACCCTCGTCCTTCGCTTTGTACGTGTCCGTTACGTCGTTAGGTACACCCGCCCTTCGTATGCACATTATATACACGCGAGATCATACACCCGCACACAAAACTTACACGGAGACACTCGCAGAGACACGGATGGGAAGCTACGTAATGGCTTTAGTGGCAAAGTAGTTGCCTCACCCTTTGCAATATACATCACAATATTGGAGCAATGCGAGATATGTGTACTTGTAGGCATAAACGAAGGAAAAGTTCAGGCGGTGTTGCGAGTTTGTAGGTATAGGGTATATACAAGATCGGAGTTTCGATTCGTCGAGCGAGTGAGCTTCGAAACGTGCTCGAGTTGAATATCCGCGATCCAAACACCAGGCGCTATGGCAAAGTGTAGGGCCCAGCGAGAGAGACGCAACGAAGATGCTTGGGATGACTCGTCGTTGTTTGTACCAGCGGGTTTTGACACTGAGTACCTATTATACAAACGCGAGAGAGTCTGGGTGGACAGATTGTTTTGCTCGACGAGTGGATCAGCACACCATAGTTGCAACGGTGGGTGTGAAGCGGTAGAATAGTCGCAGGGCCAATGGACGCGAGCGAAGGAGGATACAGTGTATTGCACGAAGACAACAGCTGTGGTAGCAATAGTCGTGGTAGGTCCGGGGATGGCGTCGATCAATGTATACTTTGGTAGTATGTATGTCCCGTCGCTCCGTGTAATCGGTCGCACGGAGTGGCGGCGGGCGGTGTGGTCGCGCGTACGGGGCCGGCTCCTAGTCGTCGTCGTCGAGACCGAGGAGCTCGGGGGGTAGCCTCCTGTGCCGGCAGCAGAGCGTCAGGCAGAGCACGCGCGCCGCCAGCCGGAACTGCGGGCTCAGGGTGCCCAGGATCACCGCCTTCCAGAAACTGTTCAGGATGCCGAACCACACGACGCCGAAGTGCAGGAACGGCATCTGAAACAACATGGTACACTGGTGACATTTTTCCTTTCTTATACATGTATGAAATATATGGCGAGGGACCACCAACCTGGGGAGGGCCATTAACCGACGACCAGATCCTCAGCCCGGCGTACGGCGCCCACGATATCCAGAAGGCCATCACCAGAACAAAGGACATGATGTGGCTGGGGTTGCTGAGGTTCTCCGACAGGGCGGTCGCGTACTCCTTGTCGTGTATCGGCACGCCGGATCTCAGTTTGCGCATCATCGAGAATATGTAGGTGTAGGTGTAGATGATGGTGATGACCGAGGGCCCGAGCACGAGTATCGACAGGGTTATCGTGTACGCGGCCATGTTGCCCCAGTCGAGCATGCAGATGAAGGCCTCGCGGTCGAAGAGGGGCTTGTTGAAGCCGAGCAGCGGTGGGCAGCACATCATCGCCACGCTTATCCACGTGAAGGCCATCCAGCACTGGCAGCGCGTCTTCGTTTGCACTGTCTCGTAGCGCAGTGGCTTTCTGGTTTGTTTGCGTATATATATATATATACACACGCAAGACAATGGCAGCAACATGGATTAACCATCAATGGTCCGTGCAAGGTAATCATTGGATATATTGTATACACCTACCTGATGGCCAAGTACCGATCGACCGAGATCCACATGAACGTGTACACGGAAATGGCCCAGAGCGTGACCTCGAGGTAACCGACGAGCCGGCACACCACGTCCCCGTAGACCCATCTTCGGACCAGGGCCGGGTAAACCGAGAATGGCACTACCAGCAGGCCGCACAGAAGATCGGCTAACGCTAGCGACAGCAAGTAGTAGTTCATCACCTCACTGGGACCTGTAAGTCACGAATACACCTTGTTGTTTTATTTTTATCTTATAATATAAGTACATTTGAAGAAGAAGAAGAAGAAGAAAAAAGGTCCAAACGCTTACCGCGGAAATTGAGGTAGGTGGCGATGATGAGGAGGTTCGAGAGAATGATGGCGACGCCGAGCACCAAGATGAAGCCCGCCTGCATGAGAGCCTCCGCGGGGGGCTCCTCCATGCCGCCGTCCTGTCGCGCTGCATCCCCCCGCGCGCGACCTTATTTCAGGTGCCGCGCGCAGCCCCTTTCCTTACCCTCCTCCTCCTCCTTTGCTTATTTTCTGGCCGACTGGTCAGCCCCTCCTCTCTCTCTCTCTGTTTTTTTCTTGTTACCTTTCTCTCGTACCCCGATTTTTTAATTACAGGGAAGCTCCGTAGTCACTAGTGCCGTGGTGCCGAGGAGCGTCAGGAGTCTCGTCGCATCGCTGGAATAAAAACACAAGGGGTGTATAGATACTCTGGTAAATTTTTTGCTCACTGCGTAATGGTCGCTGGGGATGGGACTGTTCCGTACGTCCATTGTTGCAGGTCCGAGTAATTGCGTTTTATCGTTGCCCGGGGGAAAGGATAAAAAAAAAAAAAAAAAGAAAAAATACTCGTTCGAGTTTTTAAAACTTTAATTATACCACGTTTAAAAAGGACATTGTTTTGAGCCCTCCGTACTATACATTATACGAAGGTTTGAAAGTCGAACGAGGTAATATATACCTCCGAAATAGGCTATTTAAATTCATTTTCGTGCACCCGCCGCTCAAATAAGCTTCGGAAATCCAATAGTTGATCGCCTCCCCTGCGGGATTTGAATATTCAAGGGAGGAAAGAGTCGTTCGAACTTTTTGATTAGTTTGAGGGAGAAAATTACGATACGAGTGAGAACGAAATCATTACATTTTTTTTTTCCTTTCAAATTTTCAAGAATGAAACGGTATTTTCGCCACTGCAACATTTAAAATGGGAAGAAAATTTCCTCGAAGCCCGAATCGAAAGAAGTTAAGAATAATTTCGAGCGCTCCAATTTCTCCTTACATTGAACGCTTTTTTTTATAAAATCCTGCAAGAGAACGGATGAAAGTGCATCCAACGATGGGGAGGAAGAAAGTACGAGAAGCAAGTAAGTCAAGTCCTCGTGGAAGTTTTTTTGTCTCGCTCCTCGAGGATCGCAAATTTTCCATCCCGCGGTCGGAAGCAATGGAGGATATTAAGAGAGAATCAGGTGGCTGTGAAAGCGCTAAAATGGAAGAGGGGGTTGGCAAGGGGGTGGAGTAGAAGGGCGAGCCTGCAAGGAGACTTTGCAATGCACGAGCGGATCTCGCGCTGCACAAAAGGGCCACCACGTTTTCCTTCTCCTCCTCTTCGGAAAGTGCCATTCCGCGTACTTTACTTGTTCCCCTTTGCCACGTTCTATACCATTTGTAATTGATGCGTGTAACGGCAAAGGCACTTTTGCAATTTATTTAATTAGTTTTATCGAATCAGGAAATGTATAACACGTACACGGACGTTTCACGGACCTACGCATCGGGTAATCGGTTTTTGATTGCGCAATTTCCAATCCACGCGCGTCCGTGGATGAAACAGAAAACCGGTGGCATTGCACTTACGTAAGGGTGCATGCGACAGATTAATCGGTTACATAAATTTAATTGGAGCTTTTCTCTCTGACACGCCCGAGAAAATTGTCGTAGTTGGATTCAACTTGTCTATTTGTTGGTAATTTATCGCGTTGTGAGACACGAGACGTTTGCCCTTGGTCAACAGGAAGAGGGTATAGTGTATCCTATCCTGCAGAATTTACGAGTTTTTCGTATCGTTGACTCCGAAGGGACAACAATTCTAGAATTTAGCCAACTTGAGTCTTGCATAGTATGTCTCGTGGATTAACTTTTGTATCATTACAAAATAATGTTACTTGTATTTTAAATTGATCCAATAAAGTTTATAAGGTATACTTGGATCATATTGATGGAGTTTTACGATGAAACGTACCAAAAATTTATTACGTGAAAGTGCTACGTAAAATAGTTGAAGATAAACTATCGGGATGTAATGGAAAAACTCTCTTGTACTCGTTTGGTCCACGTTTAGTTTTTTTTTTTTTTTTGTCGCGCATTTGCCATCCGAGTAAAAGACCCATATAAGCAATGATACAGCGTCCCAAATAATATTTTCGCAGTAAAAAAAAACCTCTCATAAAATAATAATGCAACAAATACTTTCCTCAAAAACACCTTTTTGAATGATGTTATGGTGGGCAAAGTATGCAAATGAATCCTACCTCTTCTTTTATCACGAATCATTTGTACGAATCTGACAAAGTACTAAAGAATTCCATTACCTTTCAGAGTAAAGTCGTACCGATTAGTGTTTAAATTGGCTGCATCAGTAGCAGAGAACAAAAGTATCGCTTAGTACAAGAGGAGTGAAAGAAAAAAAATAGTCGAAACATAAAAATTTCATTTTCGTAGCTATGATTGACCAACTCTTCCTTTCTGACGAAGATAGGCAGGTTTGACGTAATAAGTGAGCTTTCAAAGCATAAAAAAAAGCCCTTACGAGAGCATTCGAAATGATAGATCCACGTACGTGGATGGACTCTTGTAACGCCGATAAGTAAAAGTGGCAAATACTGCCATGTAAGTCCAGCGTATCTATCGACCACCATCCATAATTAAACTTGAGTCGATTGTGAATGAGCCGTGCGCTCTTGCCTATGGACTGGTGCTGTGTATATATAACACAAGTGTGGGTGTGCTCAATGCGTGTGCACACACAGGCGCCTTGCACCAGTTTTGCAACCCTTACTTTTCCTTACTTTTCTATTTTGTTCGATGCCATTATAGGTAAAAAAAGATTACTTTCCCGGAAAAAAAATACATGTACGAGTTCTTTTTTCCCGCGCTGAAAGTCATTCCGGCTCTCTTTGCCGCAAATACTATAAATAGACTCACGCGAAACAGCAATGGCATTATTATTTCTGTCGTTCGCGTCTTAAATTGTCGGAATACTTTTCAATTTTATCCTTCTCTCCTCTGCATGAATCAAGTATAGGTACACTTTTTATTTGTTCGATCCAAAAGGAATCTCGAGTTTGTCAATCGACAATTTTAAACAGCCCTTCGTTTTTACCTAATGAGGCACTTGAGGCGACATCGCCCGTTTTTTAGTTTTTAATTAATGAGTCTTCAGCGTACGTATGAGGTCACGTTTCTTTAATTTTCAAGTTGACTCCCTGACCTACACACGCGGCTCTTTGCACTCGTCGAACTGACATTTCGCCCCACGCGTAATTTATTCACGTGGTGATGACCTTAAAAAAAAAAAAAGCTCGACTAATACCAAGTTTTTGTACAAGCGAACATTTTTTTTTTTCTCCTTCACTCCTCGTTCAATGATTAGCCGAATTGCACGATTCGTTAATGAGACGGCAAGTGCAGGAAGCATAATGCATCTGGCATGGAATAACCGACGAGTGGCCGGTTAGCTGCTGAACTTTGCGGGGTACAGCGAAAAAGTAGAAACGGGCCCGTGAACTTACGCCCTTACCCTACCCGCACTTGCCCCGCGGATATGGATTAATTCGAGCTGCGTGCCAAGATCGCCGGGTGCGATTAAAGAAAGATACCTCACGCGTGCTGTACGATGTATCCCGCGAGGTGAGCACGCGGTCGGGCGAGCGATAAGCCGCGAGAGGGTGGGAAAAGTTTATCTCGGGGTCATTTCGGTAAGTGGGTGGGGTAAAAGTGGCGCTCGTGGTGCAAGCAAGAATGACCGGGCGAGCGAGTTCTCTTCGTGGATTATCTCTTATCACGCTATTTGCGCGAAGGTCGTGGGCTGCCAATCGTTTCGAGCGGAAGCGATTTTGTTGGGTGGCTCTGACGGGGATTAGAAAGAGGAAGAGTTGGCTGGCGATGGAGGATGTCTTTTTTTAGCTCGGGAATATATATATATACTGCTATGTCGAGCATTGGTACTTTTTTTTTTAGTTAATTTCGTGCATGGCTTAAGGTACGTAAATAAACTCTCGAACCAAAGAGAAATGTTACATACCGCATTTTAGATGTCCTTTGGGTTTATCAGGTTTATACTGTGTCGAGTGACTAATACAAGTTTTTTTTTTCTTTTGTACGAATAAATATTTTCATCAGGATATTTTTCAATTCCATCAACAATACCTGCATGGCTGGTTTAAAATATTATGTGTTTAGGGGTAATTTTCAGATATGCAGTTGAAGTGATTCACAACATACTATACTTTTTGTCAAATGGTATAAAATATTAAAACAATACAAAAAAAAACACATTAAATAAAATATTCTACACGACTACTACTCACGTATTATGCAGTAATCTAAAAACGAGTGGAAAAAAATAAGGGTTAAATCAAGCTGACAACCACATCAAGTCGAAACGCGAGTTATTGTCGTGAGGAAAAAAAAAAAAAAAAAAAACATCTCCAAGCAAAAACGAAAGTGTTGAGGCTGCTTTCCGTATTACTTAACTCACGATAAAGAGAAAAAAAATGGATAAGAGCGTCAAAGAGCCTTAGAGCCTACGAAAGGAGGGATGAATAGCGATTGGAGGATGAAGAGCGCGCAGGAAAGTGCACATGCATGCAGTGTGTAATATTTGCGGGCCGACGCCGGTGGCATCAATCGTAGGCAAATCTCGCCTCGTAGACCCACGACAGGTCGCGGTCAAGTCTATTACGTAAAAAGGAGCTTAACGAAGCCCTTCTCCGGTACGTATTTTTTTGCTCTCTCTGCACGCAGTGGTCGAATCGTGAGGAGTACGTACAAGTCCATCGCACAGTTTCTCGATTGCGGGCGAGCCACGCGGTATATAAATTAGGTGACGAGGAGAAGCGGACCCGATGGACGGGGGCACGTGTGGCTTGGATGGCACGCGATAATCGTGCAACTGTAAGGCTTGGAACACTCGGAGATGGACGCGTTGGTCGCTGTCACAGCTTACCGAGGATTCACTCCGGCTATAAATGCTTTCGCACGTATGGTTGAACCAATCATATTATCAAAAAGACAAAAATGATTTTTAGCTTCAGACAAATATTTCTTACAATTTCGCTCCCATAGACCCTATCGAAAAGATTGCCCATGAAACCCGAATCTACATTCATGGGGACGATCGATACTCGTGAATATTAGTTGATTATATTGAATATCCATGCGTCGCGGCACATTAGAGATTCGCAATAGTTGCGTTCAGTTTATTCGTAGAGCGGCTTCTCAAGGTCCCCCAGTTGAGGAAACAAACGAGGGTGCACTTGACTCGTGTACTCATCCGATAAAAGTAATCCCGGCATCGACAAGACGCCTATTTTCGGGGGTAACAAGGCAATGCAAATTCAAAGGTGCACGCGACGAGCTCCCTAATTTTTCGCGATGTAATTTATAGGAGCGGGTGGGGG